ACTACAGAACCGGTAGTAAAATGTTTTGAATCCCATCACTGGTTCCAGGTATTATTATTATTTTTTAAGCAAATTTTATTGATTTTAACAACAAACAAACAAAACAAAACATCATTAAACATTAAAAACATAAAACCTCTTTTTAAAATCTTTACCATTATAAATCTTTACAAGGCAGGTAACACATTATTTTATATCACATTCTTCTAATTTATCCCATTTCCATATAGACACGTAAATTCCCTTTAACAAATTTCACATTATTTCTCTTTACTCTTATTCAATCACATTTCTTTTCTAGTTTATCTGCTATTCAATCATCACATTTATATTTTCCTCTGGCTTGTTTACAGTTGTTCTCATCTGGCCTTCCTCCGAGATTTTATTAATTCTCAATTAAACACACACACATAAAGCACAAAAAACATAAAACTTCCTTTTAAAAAGTAACTTGGCCCCAGATTACCTCTTTTTGTATGGACTTCAATTAAATTCATGCTCTTCTTATATACCATTACCTATCTTGTTTACCATTCTATATCTTCTATATAACTCCTCCCCACTTATATATTTCATCATACTTTAAGACAATATTTTTATATCTTTTGTCCATTTTTCCATTTACATCTATCTCATTCCCAATATAAAAAAAGAATAATTTCTCTTGAAATCACTAATCAGAGTATGATGCCTTTCTATCATACCCCTAAACTGAAATTCGAAATAACACCTAAGTCCCAATCTGATTCTGCTTAGTACATTCTACTATTTCAAAAACAAATACTACAGTAATAAATCTATAATAATCAACACATTAGCCCATTAAACTCTATAATTAAACTAATATTTTAAACATTTCCTTTAATATTTTATTAAAACTTAAAATCATTCATTATTAAACATTTTAACATTGTACCTTAATATTTTAATCTTTTATTAAATCTTATAAAATTCTAATTTTCTATTTTTAATACAAATACAACTGCTACAATACTATCATGTGTACTATGCAGAATCCCCCCCCCCTTTTAAAGAATCATACATTATCCTTTGTCCCTAAAAAAGATTTTCTTTTTCCCATCTTGTTTTATACCTTTATAACTTTTCCCCGCCTTTTCCCTTTCTTTCTTTCTTTTTACCACTCCTCTCCAAACCTCTGCCTTCTTGGCATCCCCTTTCTGTTGCATTCTTCTTTCCTTTTGCTTTCTGGCATTATATTGTTTTTGCATCTTATTTTTCTCTTTCATAGATTTTTTTTATGTCTTAAGCCCTTCCTTTTCCCTCCTCTCTTTCTCATTTCTTTCTTAATCACACTATTTAATTCATTAAAAAGTGCTTCTTCTTCCTCTGCTTCTTCCAGCTGTTGTTTAATTTGCTGACACATAGCAAGCGCCATATCTAGAAAACAAAGGGCTTCTCCCATAGCATCCTTGCCTTCTTTCCTTATTTTTAGATATTGTTTTTTTAGTTTTTTTAGTTTTTTTAGTTCATCGAGAGGTAGAGCCATTATAAACTTTTTCTTCTTCTTTTTCTGTATCCTCTTCTTGTTATTAAGCCAATCAAATATTTCCAAACTTAAAACAATTCCCCCAAATCCCAAAGTCCCAAAGTCATCAAACAGTCCAGGCAAAGCACAAACTTCTTCCTTTCACAGTTTCTCTTCCTGGGGTAAAGTCAATTAGGGAAAAAAAAAACCCAATCTGTATTTTAAATCTTTTTTGCAGTTAGCTTCTAATCTCTTTATCTTCGCTTTGAAGATGCTTCACTCCTCCAACAGTGTCTTGGAATATTTTTTTTTCCAAGCCTCTCCCTTCCCACTTGTAACAAAGGGCTTTAAATTTTTACCTTCTGTTAGAGAGCAGATTTTCCATGTCCATTTGTTAGTTCCATAAGGGAGGGAGAGTAACTTTATCTTTCAACACTTTCCTTCGCCCCTGAGAACCTCCATTAGAAACATTGTAGCATCCAAAAAGAATAGTAATTTTCCAGGTATTAGATATGTCCTTAAAGTCCCGGTTCAGCCAAGAAAAACTTTCATTTTAAAACTTCCTTCTTCTTCCTCCTGCACATTCTTAATCCAGTTGCCGGCTTCTTCATGGCGGCCATTGAGACCGCCGCTCCACCGCCTTGAGAAAAGGGGGTTATTGCCTGCTGGGGAGGGGGTCTGCGATGCCCCTCAACCTCTGTCCGGATCCCCCCTATCTTCAGCTACCCCAACAGGGCAGCCTTATCCTCCAGATCCATCAGGATCGGAGGCACCAAGACGGCTAGCACAGCAGGGATCATGGAAAAAGCGTATCCCTGCTGTCACCGAAGCCTGGCAAACCAGAAGAGTTCCACTGGTTCCAGGTATTGATACAAACCTTGTTTGTTTGTTGAAAGCTTCTACATGAAACAGAGCACTAGGTAGTGTGATGACTGGCTGCCCTTGAGGTATCTCTGCGCTATCATTATTAAGGAGCTCCTGGCAAACTGTAAGAGATTTGGGCATCACCTTGCTTGGTATGTCCGTTTTTTTTATATCAGGCTTTTAACTCTGTTTGTCTGATAAGAAAGCTTAAAATTCCCTTATTTACTGGGCTGCTTATTTCCTCTGTCTGGATCCAAGGGAACCAATTGCCTGGGCATCGTATCGCTGCCCTGACACTTGGCAAAACAAGACATGGTTCTGCCACAGTGCCTAGGGTGTGGGTCTAGCATTGAATGGTCGGGGTCTTTTACAATGCCTGTGATCAGCTGATGTAAGGCTGGATTCTGCCACTGACTATGATTTTTTTTTTTAAATGGAATGCATCTTTATATATTTGGATATTGATTTTTGAACTTGCTTTTATTGGATCATTTAAAAAAATCCTGTTGCCAGTCACTTAGATGAGGCAGGTGGCCAGACAAATCAAATAAATAATAGCATTTTTGCAACAATCATATTTAAACATCAAGGGACAGAATGACCTTTGACCCTGACCAGGGTCAAATGTTTGAAGCCCTCTTCAGAGAGCAGTTGCACAATCCTCCTTGCCTTTGTTCCATGCCCCCCTTCAGTGGTGGGATTCAATTTTTTTTACTACCAGTTATGTGGGCATGGCTTGGTGGGCATGGCAGGGGAAGGATACTGTAAAGTCTCCAGTCAGAGGTAGTATTTGCCAGTTCTTTGAAGTACTCAACATTTCCACTACCGGTTCTCCAGAACTGGTCAGAACCTGCTGAATACCACCTCTGCCCCCCTTCCTATGATGAGATTGCTCTTCCCCTTTGCAGTTTCTGCATAACTTCCTCTCAAATGTTTTAAACTTCACAGATGTCCTACAAGCTTGTATATTATGAGTGGATCATATCAAAATATATTTGGCCCCTGAGACAGTGCTGGATTTAGTTTTAGTGGAGTGGGACAGATACATTTTCTCTTTTTGTTTAGTCAGATTTAAAAGAGACAACTGCATTCTACTGAGGTCTCTGACTGCTTTGGTTTGATAGGATTGGTTGGCTATGTTTTTTTTTTTAAACTAGACTTCCAAATTTTGATGACATAGGAACACTTGCGTTTAGGAAAAAAAATCCACACTTCAAACCTATTTTTAATCCTAGCACTGAAGAGAGGTCACAGTCCATTCGTCTTCACCCCAAGCAGGAATGCAAGTTGGGAATGCTGTATTCATAGATGTGCAAATTCGATAGCATCTAATACATAATCTGATGCATGTATTAGATGCTCTCTCTCATTCTGACAGTACAGTACTGGGGATCTGCCTCAGTATATCCATACTTATCAAGTATGCATGTGTATTACCAGCTTTGCCCTCTAGAACAGTCTCTCTTCTAGGAGGAGAAGGAATAGCATTAGCCATTAAACAAAATAAACACATGTTAAAGGTACATAGAAGAAAGGAAACAACACAGATTTTCCCCCTCTATCTATCATGTCCTTACTTCTTTCATTGCCATGTTCAACTTTGGATCTCAGAACCAAATTGAGTCTTTAGAGCCATGGTGGTGCAATGGTTAGAATGCAATATTACAGGCTAACTCTGCTGACTGCCAGCAGTTCAATCTTGATCAACTCAAGGTTGACTCAGCCTCTCCTCCTTCCAAGGTGGGTAAAATGAGGGCCCAGATTGTTGGGGGCAATATGCTGAACTCTGTAAACCACTTAGAGAGGACTGTAAAGCACTGTAAAGCGGTATATAAGTCTAAGTGTTGTTGCTAAGTGCTCTTAATGTTTTGTTAGTTAAGCAGTGGAAGGATTGTGGGGGAGCACCACTGTTGTGCTCTCCTCAGGGCCTTAATCCTGCCCTGAGAAGGAACATTAATAGTCCCTTTTTGTTGAAGGATCACAGAGGAGGAGCAGAAGTCTGCTGCATCTGCAGAAGAAAGAGGAAAGCTTGCTGGTTCCTTTCGATGTTTATGCACTGTAATCAAAGGTCTGAAAAATTACTCATGTGTAAATGTGTTTCTTAACAATAGGAATACTCCCTCTGCTATATGGAAAATTCCAGACTTTTTCAGGAGGATGTATTAAGAACCTCCCTTTAGATCCTCAACCACAGGGCTGGAGGAAAATACGATTAGCCCTCATTTAGTGACCAAACTTTGTCATTGAGTCGATGTGAAACCATGACTGATCTTACTTCAGCTTTCTTCTTTTTAAGATCTATGAAGGTTGTCAATGCAAGGACTGGTCACACAGTTACTTTTTATCATTGTCATAACTATGAATGGTCAGTGTATGAGGCAGTTACTAATTGAGGATTACCTGTATTAGGGAGGATCCAGCACCTGCTGCCTACACCCATCACACATTCAAAATAACTGAGGAAGTGTGTACAAAATAAAGTGAAGACATAAGACTGAGTAACATTGGGAAATTACTGAACCACAAGCTACAGAAACCAATGGCAGTTCATAGGACATCAGTATCGCTAAACATAGTTATAGGAAGTGACCAAATAGTTTTCATAATATTAATTCAAAATTTCTACACAATCAATATTTTACAAAGCTTGCTTTCCAATATAATTTATTTAGACATCTTATCATAGGCAACTACAGCAGAAAAAGGCCCCCATACGTTCCATGAGGATTGCCACACTAAAAATTAATTCTTTTAAAATGCTGAAATTACAATTCATGTTTATATTATACAAGTATGCCAGAAATCTCAAGATAAATATATACAAAATAAAAGTTGGAAAGTATACCCCTATGTCTATTCAGCTATACTCTGAGGAGTGCGAGGTGAAAAGATCAGGCCACCATTTTAAGTTCCCACAATGCTCCCCAAAATTTAAACATGGCAGACCTGTGGCAATCCATGTGAACAAATTTACTTATTGCACAACTCATACTAGGTGGCTCTGGAAAGGACAATGTACACTAACTATAAGTGTATAGAAAAGACCAGATCAGACAAGACATATGCTGCAAAAATCATTATGAAACTAAACAAGTAATGTGGTCCCAATTCAATATTAATGTTGAGAGAAATTTAAAAGACCTGTGGAGGAAAAACTTTATTTTACTGAAGCCCATCACAGTGTTTAAAAAAACAGCCTAAAACTAAAACAAAACAAAGAAAATATGTAGAGAATGGGTACCCTCCTCCCCATTTTCTAGTCCCAAACATTAATAAGCATGTTGTGCGTCAGGGATTTTCACAGTATTTCTGTTTTACTGACAAGCAAATGAAATGGAAGAGCATGGTTTCGAATTAGGATTCTAAGACTTGCCACTATCCATACCTTGCTTGTTTTAAATATTTGTCCCAATTGAAATTATGACCTTTTCAATATAAGGCAACATATAGGGGGAAAACCCCAAACAAACTTTGCAAAAACAGATCTTAATGGGATTGAGTTCACTGCATTTGCTTCTCCTCTGCCAAAATATATATATATATATATATATCAAAATTATGAGATTATGTTCAGTAGCTGCTATCATTTTTCATTGGTAGCATAAAACTAAATACAACCTTTGCAAAAGTGTAAAACAAAGACCACAAAATGTATACTCCTGCTAGATTGGCCTCGGTGTTCTGAGAATGATAGGAGGTCAAATGTTTCTTGTTGTCAAAGAGCCTGTTCCAAGAGGTGCTAAAACAAATGCTTTTAAAGAAACCCACAGTACATCTACCAGATGATGGCATTCATATGGAATTACAGTTCAAACGGCATCATATTTGACAGAAGATAATGGCCTTTCTTCCTGTTGAAGCCTCATGCTTGGCAAAGCTTTAATTTGAACTGCCCTACCCTCGGTGGGCGAGATGACTACAAGCATGCAGGTGAGCAAAAAAAGATTAATCCTAAATAATTAAGGCATTATATGAGGGCTTCCAAAATAAAACTAGAGATCTCTTTGCTGTTGCTGAATAGTCCCATACAAGGAAAAGATGTCAAGAAACTCCCTTTCCCGCCAGAAGAAGTAGACATCTCCATTTTGCACATGGGGCTCCAGGTTGAAAAGTCTACAAGTATTTTCCTGAGAAATCCCTAGGATTAATGAAAGAATATATTCCTATGGGTTGATAGATATCTCTTGAAGCTTCTCGATGCAAACCATTCATGAGAATGGTTATTTTTAATCATGGGAAAATAATTCAGTGACAGCACAAAGACACGGTGAATCATCCAAATTCTTGGCGCCACTTGATAGTAGCAGCGTATGGGTATATTATACTCAGGATTACGTATACATACATAGGCACATTCACATACAGGGTAAAAAGAGAGAAAACACTTCAGCAAAAGTGTAAGTTCTGTCATAGAACATTTCAGACAGCTTTGTTCTTCCAAAGGTCGTTTCACTGTGGTATATGGCGCACAAAGTCAATGCTAAATACAAGCTCTGCCTTTTTGACAGAAAGAGTTGCCACATGCTTTTTAAATTATTATTATCATTTCAATCCATTCACCCAAGCTTTCCTTCAAATCAGCTAGCTGGTATCTAATAGGCACAGCTCATATATGGCTTCGGTGATCCCTTTGACATGAGTTTCATAATGGGATTGAGGCTCTTGCTTTTTAGCCTCCCAAAAGCGTGGAGAGCAACCAGCTCCAAAGTGAGAAAGCCAGAAATAAGCAGGAAGAGCGCTTCTCAATTCTTGGTTTTTGCTACTTCCCTCAGTGGGAAGAAGAGAAAAGGCTCCAGCTGGCTTCTGTCTACAGGGTGAAAACAACTTCAGGTGTATTTAAAAATTCCATGCGGTATTTCCTTGGCATATTTACCAAGGAGGTCTGCAATATGAATGTGTTAAAAAGAAACAAAGCGTTGGCTTACCTAGTCTAGTGAGCTTGACTTGAGCTGTCCGCAGTTCTACAAGCTCCTAGATTGTGGTCTTTCACACAACCCTGAAGTCTCAAGTTGTTTTTCTCTGGCACCAGAGTTTGCATTATGGACCCCCTACATGCTTAGCTGCTAAGTCATGGCTTCTTCCAAGAGTCTGACCCAGCAACTAGCATTTGATCTTCTCATACAATTTGACGTAGCCGTGTTTTACTAATTTTAAACAGATATTTTTATACCCTTCAGAAATAAGGCTGGTTATGTAAAAGACCAGAGGTTTACCTCATTAGTTACCTACAAAACCATCACTACTTATTCAAGGGGCTTTCTAGAATTCTTGGTATGTTTTAGTGCAGCTTTTCTAAACCCTCAACCCCATAATTCTATAAAAGCAAAAATCTGTACATCTGGATATGTTATTAATTAACAAGACAGCAGAGAAGCAGCTTGCAGCTGTCTACACTAATTGCACCTTGAGATCTAGTCCACAGTCCTCTTAATCATCTCCAAATGAAGTAATCTGCTCAGAGGAAGCTTCCAGAAAGTTTCTGCTAATCAGGCACTTCCTCCCTTCAGCAGTCATTCCATAATGGCTGTGTGTGTGTGTCTAACAAATATTTTGGCTGAAGATGTATTCCAGCTATGTTAAAGGATCATAGAAGAACTGAAGAAGAAATCAAATAAGTTCTTGATAGCTGCAATCAATGCCTTGAATTGTAGAAGAGATAGCAGCCTTGTGTAGAATGAAGACACTTTCTTGCTGTTCAGTTCATCCTGCAGTGGTATTAGAGAGGAGAAATTTCGGATATTTGTTTTTGCATGAATCTTTAGGCATTTAACAAGAGACAAGGTATAAGTAATTTAGTGCATATGGTTCACTCCATACTGAGAAAAAAACTGCATTTGTAAACTGAGAACTTAACAAATAAGAGGTACAACAAAGATATAATAAGGGCAGAATTGTAAACAGGAGCCACCCTGCAAGACTGAAGTTTTGGCCTCATGGTTCACGTTAACTCTGCTCTACTTTACAATGGCCTTTTGAGAAAAGCAGGGTGTTTTTTTTTTTTAATTCTGGCATGAAACCAAAATGAAGCAAAACATATCGTAACTCAGCATGATGTGTCAACTTGGTCTAGAGCCTGTTGGAAAGAGAGCAGCATGAAATAGGAATATGGGGGGCGAAATTGTCCTGAGAAACTGAAAAGGAGATGGCTTGCTGGGATCCTGGGTAAGAGCCCTCCAGGCATCATCTGGCTGTCTCCTTGAATGGCATACCTTTAAGATTGGTTGGGCTTGGAACTGATGTTGGCTCAAATACTGAGAGGATTCATTTGCAGAAGGCATTGAGGCATGAATTGCATTCATTTTCTCAAAACATACAAGCATAAAAACCAGCATCTTTTCCAGCTGACAGGAGGAGTCTGGTAGCACCTTTTCAAACTAACAAATTTCATTGGAAGGCATCAGCTTTTGTGAGTTCATGACATCTGTTAAATTTAGAGCAATGAAGTAAGATGTTTCTGTTGGAAAAGTTGCTGCCAAATTACCTATTTTTTTGTTGCTACCATGGATCATAGCATAAAGTGTAAATATAGCGAATATTAATACGGATTATAAGATGCTAGGGCAGTGCTGGCGAACCTTTTTGTTGTGGTGTGTCAAAAGCACGCCCGTGTGCGATAACGCGCGCATGTGTGTGCTGGCACCCACAATGCAATGCGCCCCACCCCCATGCGCATGTGCGTGCAACACCCCCGTTACCTGCACTGCACATGTGTGTGCCTCCCAGCTGATTTTCGGCCAGGAAGTGCCTGTTTTTAGCCTCCAGAGGGCCTCTGGAGCCCAGGGCAGGCCATTTTCGCCCTCCTGGGGGCTCAAGGAAAGCCTCTGCAGTCTCTGGAGGCTGAAAAATGGGCCCATTTTTCAGCCTCCAAAGGCTGCAGAAGTTTCCCTCGAGCCTCTAGGAGGGCGAAAATGGCCTCACATGGGCCAAAAATCAGCTGGGAGGCATGCGCATGTACAGTGCAGGTACATTTGGATGTGGCTCACATGGCCGCACAAATGGCTCTGCATGCCACCTGTGGTTCACCATCACGGTGCCAGGGCCTGGATGATGATGATGGAAAATCTTGACCCTAGTTTCATCCTTTTTCTTGTAGGCATACATGCACCACAATGATAATATATTTCATAGTAAAGATTTGTTATTGAAACAAAGAAAACTCTTCTTCCTTTCAGAAGCATAGAGAAGGAAAGGAAGGTAACCATATTTAGAGAAGAACTAGGGCAACTTACCTCTTGGTCTGAAAATGAGCAGAAACAATGAAGGTACCGTTGTCCTAGCTGCTCAGTTCTGGCTCTTTCATTGGCTCTTCAGAATTCTCACTGAGATTAGGCTCCCCTGAAATTCAAAAACAGAAACGGCTATAAAAGGGTCCACATGCTGTTCATCTTCGATTTGGTGCAATGTGACCTGTGTGGCTCATTGGTTAGAGCAGAGGAGCACAATCTGAGGTTTTCGGCACAATCTGAGGCTTTCCACAAAAAGCTTTTTGAGCAGCCCCCAGAAAAGTATGGAAATTTTAAGAGATAAATATTCAAGAGACCTTTATTTAAAGAACTGCAAACTTCTCTTTTATTAGGGAAGAGACTCCCTGCTAACCAAATCATAGCAAAGCTGTGGGAAAGATAATTAGAAAGTCTCTGCCTGTATGCATATGTTTATATGTATAGGATCATCATTTTAGCCATTGTCTATCCAGAAGGCCTCTTCTGCATGATTCCAACCAATGCAGTCCTGAGCTTTTTTTTGCCAATTGGGCTCATAACACTTGCTGATGTCATTGATCTATCTTGTTTTAGGTCTCTTTTGTGGATGCTTTTAATCAAATGGGATCCAGCCTAAGACTGCCTTGGTTCACCTGCCCTCAATTCTTTTTGCTATGTGACCAGCCCACTTCTATTTCAATTCTTTTACTCTCTTGATGGCATCATATACTTTTGTGGGCCCTCTAATCCACGTACAGGTCTTTCTCTTTTGCCTTGTGCTGAGCATATATTGTATTGTATATTGCAATATATACAACATATATTACAATACATAATATGTTGTACATATTGTATTGTATATGCATTATATAGGACCAACTCTCTTCATATTCTACATAAATGACCTCTGTGATCATATTAAGAGCAACTGCGTTCTCTTCACTGATGATGTAAAGCTATTTAACACCACCAACAATACTGCTACCCTTCAAAAAGACCTCGACTATGTATCAGAATGGTAAAACAAATGGCAACTTCAAATCTCAACAAATAAATGCTCTGTCTTACATATTGGCAAAAAAAATCAGAAAATAAAATACAGGCTGAATAGTCAAGACCTTGCTGATGACCCAAACTCTGTCAAGGACCTTGGAGTACTCATCTCTAATGATGCAAGTGCTAGAGCCCACTCTAACTACATATCCAAAAAGGCATTAAGAGTTGTTAATCTAATCCTGTGTAGCTTTTTCTCAGGTAATATCACACTACTAACTAGAGCATACAAAACTTTTGCTAGACAATACTTGAATACAGCTCATCAGTCTGGAACCCGCATTACGTATCTGATGTTAATACAGTGGAGAAAGTCCAGAAATATTTCACAAGAAGAGTTCTCCACTCTTCTACTCGTTGCAGAATACCTTATGCCACCAGACTCGAAATTCTAGACTTAGAAAACCTAGAACTACGACGCCTTCAGTCTGATCTAAGTATGGTACATAAAATTATATATTGCAATGTCCTACCTGTCAATGAATACTTCAGCTTCAACCATAACAATACAAGAGCAAACAATAGATACAAACTCAAGGTAAACTGCACCAAACTTGATTGCAAGAAATACGACTTCAGCAACAGAATGATCAATGTCTGGAATACTCTACTTGACTCTGTGGTTTCTTCCCCAAACCCCAAAAACTTTAACCTTAGACTGTCTACTATGGACCTCACCCCTTTCCTAAGAGGTCTGTAAGGGGTGTGCATAAGCACACCAAGGTGCCTACCATTCCTGTTCTATTGTTTCTTTTATTTTTTTAATTTTCCTTATATGTATCCATGTATTCATAACTATGTTTTTACTTATACCTATTATCTTGTAAGCGATTGACAAATAAAATCAATTGTAATGTATATGTATATGTAGATATATTGCTTCTAACTGAACACGTTCACCTGTTGAAATTCGTGAACCTTATTCCTTTCATCTTGGTATGTCCTACTAAGGTGAACCCTTTTAGAACTCTGGTGAAAAGTAATTATTGGAGCAAGCATGTGCCTGAATTTAAATTAAATGTAGTTTTTTGTCCTGGCTGCATCCATACTTTTGTTGAGACTCCTCCCACTCTTTGGAATGTAGTCCTGGTCACGCAACTCAGTGGCCACAGGAGGCCCAATGAATTCATCCTTGGGGAAAGAAAAATAAAAGCCCCCTGAGAACAGAGTCAGGGGAACACTGAAGTAGCAGCGCCTTCTTCCATGGAGAAAACATAGGACAGGATGAAGTTCTTGAAAGAATCTGGCAGCATGAGTTGGAGCCTTAAATGGGAGAACTTCAGACTGGAACACTTTGTTCCAGTTAGTGAGTTAGATAAAACAGAAACTGACACAATGGAAACCTTTTATTACAAACAGCTATAGCATTGGCACCTCACAGGTCTGAATCTGCTTTCCTTCCTCCCTCTTTCTCATGAAAATGGCAGGAGTGGGGGTCTTTCTGGGGCATTTTGATAAACCACTTTCTTGAGCTGGGTTCAAGTCTTATTTATCTGACCATGGTCTTGGGAGTAGATTTTCCCTCTATCCTTCAAGACCAGGGGTGTCAAACTCGTGGCGTCACAGAGGCATCATATCGGGACTTTTTCCCCCTTTGCTAAACCAGGCGGGGGAGGGGCCAGCACGTGACGCATCTGGCCTGCGGGCCATGAGTTGGACACTCCTGTTCAAGACCATCCCCTGTACCCCTTACACATTTTGATTGAATTGCATAGATTTGCCCGTGTAAGTTACATAAGAAGCGAATGGGGAAGGAGGAGAAAGATTCCCTAAACTACTTTTTTGTCAGCATACTATTTGGATTATATTTTTTCCTGGGATTTGAAAGGTATCCGTTATTTAAAGGGGTGTCAGTTAAATTAAATTCCCTGTCTTGCTTGAGTACATGTCATAGCTTATCCATGTTATTTAAAAATAGCTTCGTCAGACCTGCCCCCCAGTGTTTATATAGACAAGAAATACTTTGACAATGTCTACAGGTTTCCATTCCTCGCCTTACTATAGCTCTGAAAGCTGCCTGAGTCGAGGAAACTGAAAAAAAAAATACTGTTGCTGCATTTAAATTATTTGGAGGATGTAATTTTCCCTTGTTCCACTGAAAGTAATCAAATAGATTTAAGACTGTGTAAATCACCTTGCCATGTCAGTTCCAGTGCCTTATCCTAAATTTACTAGGATATATTAAACATAAATATGTACACTATAAAGGACTGATTTCTATCTACAAGCAATTATTTCCCTGGAGACCAGCTATATAATGACATTCCTTCCAGAATGCATCCAGATGCTTTTATTAGTTCTAATCCAAGCTAATTATGATAGTGCATTATCAAGAGCCTTCTCTCATGCCATACAAGCAACATAACCTTCCAAGATAATGAAATGCAATATTCTTCAACTTCTCCTATAGGGAAGCTTCTCCTGAAATTAATGTAAATTAGCAATGGAACCCAAGTCATCTTTTTAGTACAAATGACTTGGCCCATGGGATTCTAATGATATTAAATGCCTGCAATTAAGGGGAGGTATTTTCTAATAGAAAGTGAATGGTTCAGCCATAAAAAGGTGGCAATCCTTACTATTTACCCAGAAAAGCTTATCATGGTGTCTCAAAAGATTTGACATTCAACAAATGACAAACCTGCAGTCATTTACTTCTCTGGGAAGAAGATCTACTTCTTGATGTCCATGGGGCTTACTTCCAAATATTCTCGGCTAAATATTTTCATCATTTTTTTAAATAAAAATTCTTATTGAGCTCTATGCACAGATAACTAGTAACATATAAAAACCAGTTTATGCACCCTTGGGAGTAGGGCATGCATAGAATTTTAAAAGAGAACAGCACTGTAACAAATTTGCTTGTACTGTAGGAAATATTCCTCCGTCAGTGCCAAGTTTTGCAGGGCAATTTACCAATAGTTTGACCTCATAGGTTTTTTTTTTTTAAAGATAAATGAATAGTTGAAATGTACAACATGGTTTTCAAGAACAAAAACTACAGAAATAAAAATAGATAAAAATTGCCATTGCAGCATAACATTATTAACAAATAACTTCAAATAAATTAGATGAGAAATCCCAGGAGGGGAAAAAAAACCTTCCTTGCTTGATTTTGAAAGGGAACAAATTAAATACCTGACATGCATGACAAAGCTGGAAGGTCATCACCTAAAGGTTCATTTCTGCATAGCCACCTACCAAATCCAGCATGGGGGTTCGAATTAAGAATGGAAATTTGGGAAGAGATCTAGCCAGTGGTGGGATTAAACAAATTTTACTACCGGTTCTGTGGGCGTGGCTTGGTGAGCATGGCATGGCTTGGTGGGCGTGGCACGGGAAGTTTACTACAAAAACCCATTCCCTCCCCATTCCACTAACCTGCTTTCCAGCTCTGTTCTCCTGTGCAGGGCAACGAAACAAAGACCCAGCCAATCAGATGGGACTAGGGAGGCAGAGAACAGATGGGAGCGGGGCCAGTCAGAGGTAGTATTTGCTGGTTCTCTGAATTGCTCAAATTTTCCGCTACCGGTTCTCCAGAACCTGCTGAATACCACCCCTGGATCTAGGGCTCAGGCATGAAGATAAAAGTGGCAGTAACACTGATTTTTGGGGTGGGGGTGGGGGGGTAGTACCTCTGCCTATGGCATAATTGGGCTTGAAACAACACAACGTCCTATGAATTCACAAACAATAATGAATGCTAGGTGGCTGAGTTGGTGGCTTTTTTGTTGAGTGGGATGTTCAGATGCATTTTTTTTTCATCTATATCCTCAGATTCTTTCGTGTTCAACTGAGAGGATTGAAGGACTACAAAGATGTGGGATGAGTGAATTGAAAAAGGTTGTTGCGTCACCACTTTCTTGATTCTTTTGACTTTATATATTTTTGGCTCTTTCTCTAATAGCAAGTTTGAGATATGTCTGTTTTGACCTTTCTGCTTTTTTTCCTGCCTGACACCTCTTTGCACAAATTCTTCTACTACAGAAATATGCACACACACACATATTAGATTTCCTGTCATGACGTGTCTGCTGTTCTTATTTTAAATATATGATAGGGGCCCTGTGCTTAGCATGTTTAGTTACTAACATAAGATCAAACACGCTGGTTTCCAAATCAAAGGCCTCTTTCAGCCAACCTGGTGCCTTCCAATAATTTTGGACATTAACTCCTGACAAATACAGTTACATAGCCAACAGCAAAGTATAAAAATACTACAGAGTTTCTCTTTCAGAATGTTTCACATCCTCTAAAACAGGGGTATCAAATTCATGTTGTCACAGTAGCGTCATGTGACTTAGCGGGACTTTTCCCCCTTTGCTAAACTGGGCGTGGGCATGGCCAGTGCGTCATGCGTCCGGCCCAAAGATCTCATCATTTATCCACTTATTTAACACACCGACATAAATATGTGGACATATGTACATACACACCAATGCATGCACTATGCTTTGAATTTGCCCCTGTTCAGGAAAGGGAAGCACTTTAGATGAAGTGGTCAGAACAGTGAAAATTGTGTTCATAATTTGGAGGAAAGGGAGGTTTGCTTTCTTGATTCTGATGGCTTAAAAAAATGGAAAAGAGTCACTGTGCATGTTTACAGCAACACAAAGGTGCACAACTTCCATATTATCTATTTTTAATGATTTACCATAATCAGGGATCCAAGTAACATTCTGGGGTCCAGCGGGAACCCCCCCCATGAGTTCTCTTGAGATTTTGTATATTACAGTACTTGCAAAAGAGGCCTCTTTTATAGGGAAAAAAAATTCCTACATACAATAGGAGCTGGATTCAATTTCGTATGAATGCAAATATTTTTCCCTCTCGCATATTATTACAACTTAAACAGTTATTTCATTTGAAGAAAATTCAGGAGGAAAAGAGGCATGGGTCTAGCTTGCCTTAAACACATCCAGATTCAACTGTTTTCCTCTGAATACATTTAAAAGGCCCAATTCAATGTGATTAGAGTTGTAGCCTACATTTCAAAATAGATGTCATGGAAATCAATCAAGATCCAGTTTGATGGCCCAATCAAGATCCAGTTTGATGGCCCAATTCAGTTCAAATTTATGATTTGCTGGCAACAACATTCTATTTAAATTCTGATTTGAGGGTTGATTTGATGAACGTTTTGACTATGGGTTACAATGAAAAAGCATAAAAATGCCAACAGCTGCTTTATTTTTGAAAGGATAAGGATGGAAACAATTCAGTAGAACTTTTAAAAAGGGCCCTGCAACATTTTAGGAAGAAAATTTCAAGGAATTCGTGGCAATAAATTTTAGAAATATTTTCCATTTTACTTGTCTTGAAAAAGAACGATGAAGGGGAAGGCGGAAGAAAACAAATTTAAATTGTCCAGCAAACAACTTCTAGTTCCGCTTAAAAGTAACTATGATCAAAAACTGTTCCAAAAATTAACTAAAGATGGAAGAATTCACCACATTTGATTGACTTCCTTTTCGGATTTGGCAGGCTTATTAATATAGTTCCTTGGTTAGGTTAGGCTCTTCTGGAGATGATATGTTGCTTGTGCAACGGGTTTCTTTTTAAAGTTGAGAAGTGTGCGTGGAGAATATTACTCTTGTGCCCATAATAAACTAGTATATGAAATACTTCATGTTATACCCGATGGTTGAACAGCAAGCACACTGTCTCAGACTTGCTCACATAGGCATCATCAGCAAACTAAGATCAAGTCAACATGACATATTCCACAGTCGTATCAGGAGGCAGTTTCCACCCCAATGTACTTGTGCCCAAGATCGGATGGAAGTTTATAATTGCATCAGGATGTGACGATACAAGTTCTGTCATTTACATACGCACGTATATATATACACACACACACACACACACACACACAGACTCACCACACAAAAAAGCCTCCTGTCAGTTAAACTAACTCACTTATAAGGTAAAACAGATCTGGACAAAGGATTTGGAGGAGATGGAATTTGTTTTTCATTTGGGGATGCAGAGGAATGGAAGAGCTGAAGAACTGCAGACGGCATACAGAGATTAACAGGGACTTTACTGAAGGTCAGACAACTGATTTGAAAATGAATGGAACATAAGCATAAAAGTTACGTACGTTCTTGGCAAAGTTAGAGGTTTACAAGAAAGAGCAAAGCAGATTAGGAAAAAGAACAGTGCAAACTGTCTGAATCTCTTTGTTTCTTTCTTTCCTTCTTTCTCAGTGAGCAAACTGATTTGCTCAATGAACCTTAGGAGGTTCTTGGAGGAGACAGAGACACAGAGAACGGAGCAACTATTCCTCACCATGCAATCCGATAAGCAGGATTTTCAAGGATAATATTTATTCGCCAACTAATTGCACTGGTATAAAACAGCTTGTCACTCTAAGCATGGCATTCTTTCCCTTCCAGATCTTTTCCATTTATAAAAAGGGAGCTGCAAAATTATTGGATGCAGCAGAACAAGAAAGGCCACTGGATCTCCAAACTGCCTTGAAATCTCCCAGAAACTGTTTGGAGGACTAATTGAAAAGATTCAGTTTGAATATTTGATTCGGGAGGTGATTTCAGCAAATTCCTTGTCAATTGAACCAGTTCTTTAAAGCTCTGCAGAATCCTAATAATTATTCTCAATTAAAGAATTCTCAGCCCAGGACTTTCTTCTAGTACTAGAACCAAATAGAGTTTCTAAGACTTATGTATTAAAAAATTCATTGGCTTAATTGCAGTATTCTTACAGCAGGATAACTTAAAATGTGTTGAAAGGGAAAAGAAAAAAAAGTAGCTGGCATTGTTACCCCTATCAGGGATCAGAAACCTATACGATCCCTTGCATATCATTGCAGGCAATTACAATACTTGCACAGGATATTTAAACCACTGATGACTGAACCTGTTGCCTAGCCTGGAAAAAGTCCAGCAAAGGAGAATCTTACCAACTCACTTGATAACGTTCACTGTAAAATTGCTGTTGCTATTAAGAAGTGTTTCCTAACTTTTAATCAGAATCTGCATTCCCACAGTTTATTATATGTCATGCACTCAAAGATGTCAGCTACTGTCTTGTTGGCTTCTTCTGGCTTTAAATAATTTAAATAACTGAGGAATGCTACAGTGTTTTCCCGAAAATAAGACCTATACTGAAAATAAGCTCTATCCTGATTTCATGTTTGTGTCTAATATAAACCCTACCCTCTCAAAATAAGCCCTACTTAAGAGCCAGCACAGCCAGCGCAGCCATCCATCCGCCCATTCTGTCTGGTTGCTTGTGGTGCTGCCAACATGAGGTGAAGCAAGGCAGGTGGGGAGGTGGAACTGTCCCACGCTCCCTGCACCACCTTACCTCCACAGCCATGCCATCCATCCTCATGGCAGCAGAACCAGCAATCCTGTCCAGCAGGAGCCCATGTGGCCACTGGCCCACTTCTTTTTCAATCAATCAATCACTCAATCAAATATTTATTGTCAATGTACAACATGTGTACAAAGAAATTGAAATTTCATTCTTCTTCTGCTTGCTCATAGATAAAACAGAGCAGGAGGCTGAACTGGTGCCAGGGCTGTGAGCAAGCAGAAGAAGTAGACCTCCTGTACATGGAAAAAAGACATCTTCCAAAAATAAGCCTTGGTGCTTTCCAGCTAAAATAAGCAAAAATGAGCAAAAATAACCCTTAGTGCTTATTTTGGACCCCCCCCCAAATATAAAACCCACTCTTATTTTCAGGAAAATATGTGTCATCTCTCTCCTTGGTTGTCCTCTCAGCCCCAATAACTTTGCCCTCAGTCCTGCTCAGTCTCTTCATGTAAAATTAGTTTCTTGTTCTTTCTATTCTGACCTTCTTTCCATCCGTTACTTTAGTTTCTTTGAATCCCAGCATAGGAACCAAGTGGAGCTGGTGCAAGACAGGATATAGAACTATTAACTTCCTATGATTTGAAAACTACATTTTTATTTCTGTTGCTTAAACTGCATTTGTTGTTGGGTTTTTTTGGCAACCCTAAAAGCATATTCAGCTGATTTAAATTCAGCTTGTTATTCCAGTCTCAACATCCTTTTCACAAATAACCCGCCAACTATTGCCATGATAACTATGTATGTGATCAATTTTGCCAAATGAAGAACATTCATTTGGGTCTACTAAATTTATATCTTTTAATGCTTAGCACATTTCTCTAACCTACATTCCAATTCCAATTTCATCTATTTCTGATATGCATGATACAAGATGTAGATAAATGCCATCCAGTGGCTTGATCATACAAATGCCATTGTTTGAAATATTGGACAAATAGCAATTTGACTACAATTCTACAAAAACAAAGAGAAAAAAAAGAAAGAAAAAAGAACGTTCCTATTTCACTATGCATATGGTGAATAATTGCTATATTGAAGCTATTTATTTTCCTTCATCCTTATGACGGTTAGCAAATCTAGTCTTGTGAACAAACACAGATGAAAGATGTAATTACATGACAATATTGGTGAACTGGCAAGGGAAAACATACCTTTTTCTGCTAAATCTTTCCACCTGTCTTTGTTTTCCTGTATGTTCTGGAATAGGTTGTCTTTAAAGCTTCTTAAATCCACCATTGCCAAAGCGTTTTCTGAGCAGGTCCCACCAACACATGCAGCATTTTTTATACTTATCTTTTTGTGTATATCACTGCTGGTACTTCCTGTACTATTTTCACTACAAAGACGGGAAAAGGTTAGATTAGAATTACGATGCCTTTACTGCCTGGAAATACAAAAGCAGAACATTTTTGGTACACTCCAAAACGTTGCATAACTCCAGAATGCAGTATTCAACTAAATTGGGGTCAATTCATTCATTCTTGTGATGTAACCCTATGCACATTTTACAGCTTTTACCATTCTAACATGTTCCCCTCTATGTATGGAAATAAGGTGAGTTGTAACTAATATTTCCAGAGGACTACAAATGGAAAAGGCTAGTTTAGAAACAAACTTCAGTGATTTCAACGATACTGATTTCCAGCAAAGAATACATAGCACTGAAGCTTAAATAAACTAGATTCGAAGAACTAAGGCACCTGCTAACTCCTGTGTAGTCGTTCCCCCTTCTTTAAAATGCAACAAAGGTATTCCATGATATCAAATCAAAACATGCACCTTTTACTTCAGATGATGACAGATAAAATTATTTGAAGTCAATGTTTATAGTATTATAATAAGAGGGGAAATAATCCACACGGTAAAAAGTTTTCTTCTGTAATTTCAGTCTTGAGATTATATGTGAGTCCCAATCCCTTCTTTAACATTTTGTGTATAACAATTTAGATGTAAGCCTACTACTCTACAATAAACAAAATCAGAATAAACAACACATCCTGTCTTTTGCCTTTCATAAATTCAGTTTCAGACTTGAGTAGAATACAATCCAGAAATAACAATGGCAAATATTGCCACTAGATGGCAGTACTATATCAGGATCATTGCAGTTTCTGAAAATTAAAATTGTCTAGGAGGAAAACAAGGAGCTAAGAACAACATCAAAAAAACCCAAAACCTCAAACCTTGGTGTTGTCACAAAGGTAGAACTTTCGGACTTCGATGCTTCCTCTATGAGAGGAAAAATTATTTTCTCCATGGAATCAGTAAGAAGAGCAAATGTTGGTTTCACTATGAAATCAATGAAACCTGTAGAACAATAGAAAGGGTGGGGTAGGAAGAGACAACATTTAAAGCTTCTTCAGTCCGGAGGTGATATTCAGCAGGTTCTGACCAGTTCTGGAGAACTGTTAATGGAAATTTTGAGTAGTTCAGAGAACCAACAAATACCACCTCTGACTGGAGATTTTACAGAATCCTTCCCCTGCCAGGCCCACCAAGCCACGCTCACAGAACCGGTAGTAAAAACATTTGAATCCCACCACTGCTTCAGTCAGAATGAAAAACTTGACACAGGGGATGTTAGCCCTGGGGAAACTAAATAAGGATCAGTTTCAATCCATGGCAGGAGAGGAGAATACAGAAAGCCCATCTAAGGGAATCCCCAATAGTACCATTTATATAAGCAGGAAATACTTAGGACATTGTAGGAATGGAAGGGCACTGAGATCCTGTTTTGTGCAAAAAAAAAAAAAAAAAAAGGACGGGGGATGGACGGCAAGACAGATCTCACTAATTTCTCCTGTCTCCTCTCACCACTATTCTTCTAGACATCTTTTGTGGGGTGAGGAGTCCCAGGAAATAAAAAAATAGCAAAGGCCCCTTCCCTTCCAAATGCTGCCAATAGCTAGAACTTCACTAGATATTACTCTGGATTCAACCAACAAACTCTTTGAAAATTGAACCATTTTGTTTATCCCAAAGGTGTTTTTTTTCAGGAGGCAACTAGAGTTTCTTGTTTTTCTTTGAAGACATTTCACTTCTCATCCAAGAAGCTTCTTCAGCTCTGACTGGATGGTGGGGAATGGGAGGATTTATATTCCTTGCGGACAGCTGGTCTTAATCAGTGGTGGAATCGTGGTCTCAGAACGTTTTGTCTCAATTGGCCATTTAGTTTAAGAGCAAAAGACTGGTTAATAATTACAACGCATCGTAAAAGCTTCAGAAGGAAAGGAATGTTTGTGGACCATTTGTTTCATGGCAGTTTCTAAGTTATTAGTTTTTAAAATCAGTAATCTTTTTTTAAAATGGAAACAAGATGACCAAAATCTGTCACACATTTTGAGATCATTAAAATCAAAAGTTTAATGGAAAAAAAAAAGAAGAGTCGTTGAGGGCACTTGGAGGTTTATCTGTGTCCTCAGGATCACCTGAGTAGGGCAAATGCATGTGGAGACTTCTTGGCTGCAGGATGTTGTCTGCCCTGTGTCCTCTCACTGTTGAAGACAGGCACAGGTAGTTGTGGAGGAGCCTGTGCTGTCTGCATCTCAAACTGAAGTGCAAATGGTTCCTGTAGTCTGCAACAGGGAGGAAAACATTCTGCAGCCAAGAAGGTTCCACACCCATTTGCACTACTCAGATGACCCTGAGGACATAGACCAGCCTCCAGGTGGCCTCAGTGATACTCTCTGTAAGGAGTATAAATCCTTCCATTTCCGCACCATCCAGTCAGAGCTGAAGAAGCTTCTTGGATGAGAAGTGAAATATCTTCAAAGAAAAAACAAGAAAGTCCAGTTGCCTCTTGAAAAGGCACCTTGGGACAACCATGACCTGGAATGACTGAGAATGTCCATAGACAATAATTTTGTTTGTTCCATCTAGTAAGCTCTCTTAAGTGGGATTAGTTGTATTATGCTCATAGTGCGCAGAAGGGAGGTGTTAGAAGGAGTTCAGCAGACATGAATCTAAAATGGCATCCGATATAGCTTGCCTCCAACTCAATGTACTTGTTTTATTCTGAATTTAATGTGCTGCAGATCCAGGACTGTGGTTTTTATGTTGACTCACAACATAAAAGTTGAAGAAGAACTCAACCTTTGGTATTTACAGGTTTTCATTTTCTTAATCAACTAATTATTCTGCAAATTTTCTCTCTGAAAAAAAGCACTGAAGGAAGAAAAGCACAGAGTTGGCGTAACAATCAGGGTTCATTTAATTGTTACGTTTGTCCCTCAACTCAGCTAGTTTTTATGTTGCATCCCCTTCTGAATTCCATGAGGCTGACTCTCAGATAATTCTGCTTTCTGTTAACCAGCATTTTGTTTGCTTGCTTGCTCATTTGCAGGGCTTACAGGGAGTCCTCAACTTAACAATCATTTATTTAGCCAAGTTACAATGCCGCTGAATTTTTTTTTTACAATCTTCCTCACACTTATAACCAGGGGTGGGATTCTACAGGTTCGCACCTATTCGCTAGAACCGGTTGTTAACATTCTAAGCAGTTTGGAGAACTGGCTCTTAGAAGAAATTACTGGCCTAATCCTGTAAGGAAGGCAGGAAGGAAACATTCTGGTGTTGCTTACAGAAACTGCCTCTCTGTTAACCCTTATGACATTCTTGGCAGGACTAGACTTCCTGTCACAGGAACGTCTCTGGAGTATTTTTCCCCTCCTTTGCTGGTACTTTGCTTGTGTGGAGTGACCATTCAAAGTTACAATGGCACTTTAAAAAGTGACTTATAACCATTTTTCACACTTAAAACTGTTGCAGCATCCCCACAGTCATGAGAGGCCAGGTGAGGAGATGCGTGCCTTGATGTGATATTGACTTGGCCACACCCAGCCAATAACATGACCACCCAGTCACATGGCCATCAAGCCACACCCACAGAACCAGTTGTTAAAAATTTAAATCGCACCCCTGCTTATAACTACTTCAGCATTGCCAGGGTCATGTGATTAAAATGCAGGCACTTGGCAACCAGCATGTATTAGCAAGGACTGCAGGATCCTGGGATCTCATAATCACCAATTGTGACCTTCCCAGCTGTTTTTCAACAAGGGAAGTCACTGGGGGAAACTGGATTTGCTTAAGGACCATATAATTCACTTAATAACTGCAGTGATTTGCTTAACAATGGTAGCAAAAAAGGCTGTAAAATTGGGTGTGAGTCACTTAACAACCATCTTGCTTAGCAATGGAACCTCTGGTCCTAACTGCGGTTGTAATTCAAAGACTACTTGTATAAGGCTAACTGCATACAAATTCCCCACTAAGCAATTGGGGTTCAAACATACAATTAAGGGAACCAGAAACTAAAAGTATTCCTATGGTAATGGGAGAGGCATGACAAAGCATTAACAATCGTATAGAAAGGGAAAGAGAAAATTCTGTGACAACAATCCAGTTTGCTTTATTCAATGGAATGACCAGGTTGCCACCAGCTTCTAAAAAGCCAGGAGAAAGAAAAGCCAGATTGCACACTGGGAGTATCTCTTCTTCCAGAGGAGAAGGTAATAGTTTGAAAGGCATGTCTCCTTGGCTCTAAAGCAGGGCTGTCAAGCTCCTGGCCCACGCGCTGGATGTGTCATGCGCTCGCTGTGCCCACGCCCGGTTTAGTGAAGGGGGAAAAAGTTCCGATACGTCCCCACGATGATGCCACCATGACAATGTGAGTTTGACACCCCTGCTCTAAAGGATGACAACTTTAAATTGAGGGAAAGATATGAAAGAAGGTCTTCTGTTCTGAGAGGGGAACAATGAGCCATTCAGAGATGCAAAAAAGATTTCTCAGTCCTGAGAAGGAGGCAGACACGAGAAAGAAACTCAAAAGAGCCCTGCCTTGATTGTCTTTGGCATCAGATGTGGTAGAGAAAAACTTGGACAAGCTTTCAAGATGATGATACAATACCTACAATATATAATTTTTTTAAATTGAAAGCCTTGCTTCTTTTGTTACATGACCTTGCTAATCTTGTCCTTCTGACAGATACTTAGCAAACCAAGCTGGATCATATTGAGAGAAGATGCTTCTGCAAATATGCATGTCTCAGACCCTGAGGGGATTTAAAGGGAAAAACAGGACCTTGGATTGCACCTGCACACAAGGTACAAATAGGGCAGCTCTTGGAGTACAGGTGTTACATGAGCGCCTCAGGGAGTACCCACCTTAAGTGGCTGTATTCTGGGCTAGCTGTAGCTTCCAAATGCTTTTTCAAAAACAGCCCTACATAATACTGCATTACAATAGTCATCAATCAAGCGGTGACAAAGGCATGAGTGACAGTGAGTAATGCCTGCCATTTCAGTAATAAATTGAACTGAGCAAAGACCCTCTCAGCCACATCTTTCAGTTGTTCAAACCGGAGTTGTAAAACTAAGAAGACCTCCAAACGGCAAACCAAATCCTATCTGGAGGAACGCTACCCTGTTTAAAGTGATGATAGTATCTCACTGGGAATAGCTATGCTTTGAACTCGGAGCCAGGCTGTCTTCCTGCAACTGAGTCTTCACCTCTTCCCATCCAGACAGCTTTCAAGCACCTGCACTTCAGCAGCATCACTCAACCAGGGTCAAGATATCCCGTTGGGTATCATCAGCATACCAATGACCCCAACAAACTCATCCAAAAGCTTCATGTAGATGTTGAACAGGGAATAGGGAATATGTAGTAGTGAATATGTAAACCCCCAATTAAGGTGTGTAGGGCTTGAGCTGTCCTCCCTTACAACAAACAACTAAATTCATCTCTTCAGGAAAGAGAACCATTGCAACGTAGTCTCCTCCCCCACCTAAATTATTGGAGATGACTCAGAAGTTTGACTGATCGTACTGAAACCCACTGAGAGATTAAGCAACATTAGAAGGGGCACATTAGTCCTATCCTGTTGCCACCCAAAGTCATCAGTAAGTGCTTTCATACTGTTTCTAAGCCCAGAATCACATGACGGAAATGAATTCAGACAATTTCGACTTGAGGATTTTGAACATTCATGTGATTGGATTTATATTTGAAATGGCTCTTTATTATGTGTTGCTGGTGCAATTTGACAACATGTTGACAATGTTCTGTCAGATTAGTGAATGAAACAAGAAATAAACCTTGGAGACAGAATTCAGCCCAAGGGCTCAGAGATGGCAATACTAAACATTGCACTTGTGCTTCTTGTCTGGTCTTCATTTTATTTATAAAAGAAAACACTTGTCAAAGCACTAAAGTACGTTCCACTTAACAAGTGAAAAATGGAAATCAACATAGAATGGTACATTCTAGAATAGAATAGAATAGAATAGAATAGAATAGAATAGAATAGAATACTTTATTGGCCAAGTGTGATTGGACACACAAGGTATTTGTCTTGGTGTAAATGCTCTCAGTATACATAAAAGAAAAGATACATTCGTTAAGAGTCAATAATCATAATCTACGTACATATTTTACATTCTCTTGATATGTGTCAGTTGACTCAGTTTCCCAAGGTAGCCCAGACATGAAACACAGCCAGATGAGTTAATTAAGGCCACAGTCACATAATCTTGCAAGTCTAATAGTACAAATTGTCTGCCGTCTTTTTTACAGTCTAACATAAGTTCCTTTCTGAGTCTCTTTGCTGTCTATTATGAACCTGTGGGCTATGACCTCTCTTATTTGACTGTTCCTTAGGCAAAACCTCTTCCTCTTGTCTTCCAAGGGCATTGCATCATGCTAAATAAATGTCCCATTAAATATATCGTTACACATTGGTAAGGAGTAGGGAAATACTGCACTCCCGTGGCATCTGAAGCACTTTTTATTCATCATTTTTGAAGCATCCATAGCCCTATTCTATACAAATATATCCCAGAACCAAGCCATGGGATACATCATGGTCCAGAAGTAATCGAACATTTTATGAATCAATTCAAAAAGAAACTCTTATGGAGGACTGTTAGGAAACTGATGGAAAATGTTTTCTTCATCTAGAAAGGGAATAATTACAGTACCAATAGAATGCATTTTTATATGATAAATATATTTATGATAATGTAAAATCTTATTTAACAGAATAATAGATTTGGAAGGGACCTGAGACCTGCTGAAGCAGGAGACACTATACCATTCTGGACAAAAACAAGCTATTTGTTATCAATGTGTGCCAAGATAATGTTGCAGGATCCGGTCTGGGTCAGTCCCTGGAATCAGAGGTTTAGTCTTCCAAGCTTTTGGACCCATGCTGGATCCCATCCTCAGGAAAGAGTTTCAGAAGTTCCCCGAGGACCAACTCAGATTGGATCCTGCAATTATTTGTTAGTTTCTTCATACATGTTAAGAATTGGTTGTGTATTTTCCAAAATGCGTTGGGAAGAATGAAGTTCTGCTCCCTGGCTTATTTGTCTTTGTTTTGTGACTTGATGTCTATCCACCCTACAAGAACAAAAGCTAGAAAAGACTATGGAGAAAAGTGGCTCATGAAAGCAGCTTTTTATAGGGAAGGAAGCCACGCTCTTTTGAGAACCATCATTAAGCCACAATATTTGTACATTTGCAATAGTGCCTTCTCTCACATCACTGATTCACTGATATACCTGTGACGGAAAACTAGTTTTGATAACATCCAAAGAGTAATATAACAACCTATACGCATGACAGAGTCTAACTCAGTGCTGTAAAAATGAACTAAGAAGGGACACTGATAGTCACTTGTGAATGAGAAAGGTACACTGTGAAGCCCCTTCCTCATCTACACTAGCAGCGGTGCCAAGAATTGAGAAAACATGCTGGGATCCCAAAACACTAGTTAAAAACTCTATGAATCCCCTATCTTATTTTTCCAGTGATGCTATTCTCCGTGAGTAATGCATACTGAAAAATAATTGAAACGTGAACTGCCTAACAAAACCAATCCTGTTCTGTTGAGCATTTCTTTCTCTCATTGTAAGACTTTGTTTTAAATTTAAGAAACCAACCCTTACCTATTTGGGACTGTGCCACCATGGTGGATTTCCGGTCACAGAGTGGAGAGAATGGTAGCCCTAGCTCTGCCTCTTTGTCTCCCTAAAGTCAGGGGAAGAAAACATATGATTCTCAACATATAATTGAAAGTAAGTGAAAGTAAAGTCAAAGTGAAAGGAAGGGTGAGCATTCAGTCATTACAACTATATACATATGTTCCTAAGTATTTAAAAACCAAACATCTGGCAATACAACCCTGGGCAACGGGGAGGAAAAGTACACAAACTGGTAAGTAAGCCTGTCCCTTTCTCATTGCTTGCAGTAGAACTCTTAAACTGTATCTGTCATAGTGAGTGATGGAACCTCTTGATTACTCAAGGTATATGTCCTTCAACACACTCTCTTCAGTATGTCAACTGAGATTTTTTTGTTGTTGTTTTGTGTTCTATCAACTTCTGGACAAGGTAAATGGATTCTCTGTGCCCTTACATTGGACAAAAGATTGATATTGCAGCATCAGAAAGAAAAATATATGGCTCCACTTGTTCAATGGATTGAAGACCAGATTATATTTGTGCAGATTGTTTACAATGTAGACTTGGCATGGGCAAGTGTAATGAAATAAGGTACCCATTTATACAAAGTATAGTATATACAATATATTGTATAGTAGAAGAATGATAGTTATATAAATGGATTAGAAATAAATGTTTATGTACTTGAATAATATTTACATTCAATAAGTATATACAGAATTTTAACTGTTAACTGTTATAATGATGTATTATACTTAGTTTCTTTCTTTTTTCTGTTATTTTTTTCACTTTTTATGTGCCATTTATTTGAAAGTGCATGTATTTGCATTATTTTAGGGTTTTGTTCATTTTCTTTTTCTGTTATTATTTTAAATGCAATAAAAATAAATTTCAAAAATCTGTTTTCTGTTAACAGTGATGTCCTGACTATTTGGTTACCATGTTTTAAAATTACAGTTTGATTTGTATTTCCAGGCCTGGTTTATCCAGCTGGAATTTAATAATTAATTAGCTTCCAAAACTTGGTGTCTTCCGTGCATTATAATCATGCTGGTTGGACGGTCTGGGAATTACAATTTCAGTTCTTCTGGTGAGCATCAGGTTGCAGCAAGCTGCATTACGCCATAATTTTGCATTTAATTGGGAATTTTGCCTGAAGGAAACTATGCTTAAATATTAAACCTAGTACAGAAGGGAATGGAAAAGGTGACATGTATGTATGAGCAATGCTAATTCCTGATTTAATAATGATTGCTATATCTGCGCCCTTTGAAACCTCACTGTGCTGGATTATAAAAATAATGTGCACCATTCCAAAATAAAAGAAAGGGTTTAGTTTGATTACTTTGGGACAAACAAAGTGTCCAAAGGGTTTCTTTTGGCACCTCCAAAAATCCCACCCATTTCTTAGAATCTGAGTGTGAGTATAACCACTTCTGAAAACAGTTCAAGGGATTGTATTTTTCTTCATGCATCCATGCAAAGCCTTCTCCAGATATCCATCATCACATGGGAGATGAGTGGGAGGGGATCTTTTCAATGATAGAAGCCGCCCTGCCTTCCTGATCCTAATATGTCAACTTTCAGATGCTGGGAAAAGGTCTCTTTCACACTGAAAGTTCAGGTTTGAACTGTTGTTTGCTCCTGTATTTTGTTCTTTTGTTATGATTTCAATAATTTATGTCAATATTATATAGGACATTACTTACACTTTTAATTGGCTATTAAAAGATTGGAGTAAAAACAGTTAGGAAAGAAAATGGAGGAAATGACTGATCCTAACCACTGTGCCAAAGCTGTGGTAGCACAGTGCGGAGAATGCAGTATTGCAGACTAACTCTGCCAACTGCCAGCAGTTCAATCTTGACCATGTTAAGGTTGACTCAGCCTTCCATCCTTCCGAGGTCAGTAAAATGAGGGGCCAAATTGTTGGGGGCAAGATGCTGACTCTGTAAACCACTTGGAGCACTGTGAAGCAGTATATAAGTCTAGGTGCTAGCGCTATCTGCCATGGCTTGTGAAATGTTTATAAATACATTGGAGAGAAGTACCTGTCGAAAAAATTCTTCCATCAGGGCCTTTGTCCATCGGTAGTGCAGATCCCACAATTTTGACGGATGGCTGATGTCAGCAGCATGGAGGATCAAGGCCATGGCTCGGGCTTTGTCTATCCTGTCAATTTAAAGACATTTTTCTCATTATCTCTCTGCAAAGATAAGCTTTGCTCCAGACTGCGGACGCCATTTAAACTACACAGCCTGTGGCTACAGAAGGAAAGGTGAAGACATGCCACTTACCCTTCTGTTTGCTGAAGAGTGTGCCTCATCGTCTTGATTTGCTGGAAATGCCCAGACATATCAGTAGATAAAACCATCTCAATAACCAGGTTGCGCAGTTCCCTGTGGGCAATCAAAGTGATTAGAGTGGCATTAATTTTGTACTTAGGCACGTGGATTGTACTGCTCTGATTCATTTGTTTCTCAGCAGCAAAATTAGGAAAGAGATAACATTACTTGAAACAATGAATAGTAAGTAATCTGCAATTTTGTGCTAGACAGCTTTACAAACATAATTTTAATACTATTATTATCTATAATTTTATTTCAAGTCTTTTCAAAATAGTGACCAGAGATTTAGATACAATGGGATTGGCTTACTTGTCTGCAATGGCAATGAGCAGATTTATACATGGTTATAATTCTGCCATCATTATCCAAACATCTTACTGGATAACATCGACAGAAGCAACCAACAGGTCAGAAATGGGCAGTCTGTGCCTCACAGTCCATGTCTAGGCCATTTTTGTGGCCTGAAATTGGTTCTGTTAAATTTCTAGCAAAAAGAAAAGTAATTAAGTATGTTAAGAACTTAACAGAGGAATCAACCTAAAAATCCCACCTTCCCTCCAAATGAAGGAAAATGGACCTCAAATTTTAGGCTTGTTCCAGTAACACAATAACATCACCACCACCCTATAGAAAACAACAACTCTAGACATAAACTATCTGGATCTACATTAAAATATGTAATTAGAGGATGTGGTCCTCTTCCAAAATATACCCTACTGCAGGGTTCCCCCACCCCCCCCCCCCCCCCCGGCCACGGCTGTGTGAGAGGCACGTGGGCGCGTGTGTGAAGCTTGTGTAAGTGGTGGGAAGACATGCCCACCATTTGTGCAAATGGAGCTGTGTTTATGAGTATGTGTACCTGCCCCTTGCAGGGAACAATCCCCTCTCCCTCCTCCGCTGGTCCACCAAGTCGAAAAGCTTGAGGATCACTGCCCTACCATAAAGGGCTCCCTGTTGGAGCCCTCTCTGAGGAGGTAGATGTAGTGGATGAAAGAGTACAGCAACTAAACTTGTGATAGAAATGTGTTTACTCTGTGTGTGACAATCTTCCCCAAACACCTTGATTTGTCAAACACATTTGGGAAAAGAAATATTTTCTATGGAAACAGAGAAGCATGTACTGTAGCATCTGTCACTGATTAGCAACGGGCAACTTCCTTTCAATTAAATGTCCAGGATAAATTTGCTTTATGATAATAAAAATTGGGTTATTTTATACTAGCTTATGCTATCTTGCATTTATACTAGCTTATTACATATCTTGCCTGAGCTGGTCAGTAAGTAATATGAAGTGGTTTAATTTTAGAATATTCTAGGACCATGTATGTTCAGGAATATTTTCCCAAGGTCATTTTTTTTTTCTGTACATTTTAAGAGGAAAGGAAGTGCAATGTAACCAAATAGCATTTGGAGCAGGTTTCAAAGCAGGACTACAAGTTTCTGTAACAGCTTTTTTCCCGATGCCATCCATCTGACAAACTTGCTAGATTTGTTTTACTCACTGTGTACATGAGTACATCCGAACTAGACTGTGTTATTTCTCTGTGTCATATAATATATGATGGTATATGCATAATTTTTTTGTCATGTTTATGTACCGTATATTGGAGATAGTGATCCTTTGAGAGCTGTGTGCAGTGAAATTTCATTTTAATGTAAGTCAATTAGTGTACATTTAAAGTGACATTTAAAGTTATTCCAAAGTAAAGTTATTCTAAGCATTGGTAAATGAGATCTGGCAATGGCTATCAGCAGAAAGTTTCCCTCTACTTCCAGCCACAAATCTCTAGACAAAAACCCAAAGGGTTGTCCTCTCCCACTTGTTTGTAGTTGTTGTTGCTAATGGTAGTGGTGGTGTGTATTAGAGAGAGGAAGATAAGACAGCATTTCAACATATTCTAGCACCCCTTGCAAAAAAATAATCATGTCATGGATGTGCTCTTTTGAGTCAGAGCAGCCAGAATCTCTCTCCTAATCTAAAAATCTCAGCTTTACCCTTTACTCCTGTGATTTTCTGTTTTTTAAAATCCCCTCTTGAATAAGATCAGCATAAAATCTACTTTTTATTCATGGTGACATGTAAGCACCATTAAGCAGGGAGTCTTTAAGGAAGTTCTTTGCTGGAAAACTGATTGATTTCTGAATCAATGTTTTAAAAAGTTAGTGAATTAAATGGATTGCTATTCCTAAATGACTGTGCGCAGCTAGAGTAACTTGTGGTTGAAGTTTTGGCACGTGCAACAGTGCGTGTGAGAGAGGAGTAATGCAGTGGAGGATAGGATGTAATGAAATTCTTTGGAATATGGCTACAAATTAATTTCTCTTAATCCAAACATTCCATTTACAATCTCTATCCTCTTCTACACTAAATGCAATTTTTTCTCTTCAGATGATCTGTTTATACCCCGAAGAATTGCAGTTAGCTGTAACAGGAGACTGCAGTTGAACATGCCGTGATATTCATTGGGGATGTGGGAGAATTTCACTGGCTCTGCCTTTTTCAATGAACTGAACTAATTCATGGTTGTCATGTAAATACATGGGATCAAATGTCATCACTTTTCAGACTGTGCAACTCTCCAGATTATGTGCAGCTGGGCTGAAAAGTGCATTTAAAATGAATTATTTACAGGAAAATGCATTTTTTCATAGGAAAATCAAATAAATGTTCTTTCCCCCGTGTTTTAAAACTCACATTAAACTACATCGCAATGACAAACTTATCATCATAATAAACAGAAGACGCTACAGAAAAAGAAAAAATGCACTTATAAGTCCATTTGTTATCTTAAGGATACATATCCAATTTTAAACATCTATATTTATTATTTCTATTACCATTTTAAATTCTATTTTAATTCTGTTTAGATTTCATGATATAAACCTCTGGGAGTATTTTTTTTTAATCTGGCAGAATAAAAGAGATGGAAAAGATATTTGTGCAGACATGGATAATCTACTAGGAATGGTTTTGTTGACATAACTAAACCCTGGAGATTAAATGTGAATAAGCATCCACATTTAAAGTGTCTTGCTTTCTCATCTACTGTTTTAAATTTTCAGCCAAAACTATTTCCTATACTTTAGATATCATGGATTCAAAGAAAGATACAGAGTAAAACCTTGATTTAATTGGCTATTTGGGAGAAGGACGTTCTGAGCATTTTTAAATGCAAACTTCCTTCCCTTATTTATATGTGTATGTACTGTATAATTATTTATATCATTTATGCAATGACAGATTTACATGAATTATATGTAAATGATTTCATTTGCATTATTTACATAAAATGCATTATAAAAGATGTAAGGCATAATCTCATCATGTAAATAATTTAAATGGATGCAAATAAAGTAAAATTAATGTTATTTTAAATGGTGCATCCAGACATCTTTGGATGCGATGGATTTGTCTGTTATTCTGGGGTAAATCTGGATGGAAATTTTCCCTTTGCATCTGAAGTAAACCTAGCAGATAACAGTTAACATAAAATAATGAATGTGTTGTGCTTCATCATTTTACATGTTTTGAGGGAAATGAACAATAAAGTCACATTAGCATTAATTGAAACATTGTGTATTTTTTCAGTTTTATTTTAAACATTCAAGCAAAAAGAATAACTATTGATATAAAGAGGGTGGTATAAGTTCATTTAGTTACAACTTATCCAATACAATCTAGAAAAAGTGTGAGAAAAGTTTTTAAGCATGAATCCAGAAGCTCAAAAAACGAAACCTCGGTTGTGGAGACCAACCCAGATTGGATCCTGCAACATTATCCTGGGACATGTCTATTTGCCTTCATTCATGACAATCTAGAAAGATTGATAAATGTAATGCAAACTTAAGTAGCTGCAGTACAGTCACCACCCATGAATTATTTTTACATTCAATTATAAATATCAGAGAGATTTCGAAGGAACATTATATAATAAAGAAAAGTTACAAGGCCTGGAGGAACATTGTCCATGGGGTTGCGATGGATTGGACACAACTTCATGATTAACAACAACAACAAATATCAACCAGTGTTTGACAGATGGCTAGTTAGCCAGATTCAGTTAAGTCCACCTGAAAATCCATAATCCTGCCCCTGTTGAAGCAGCGGATGATACCAAATGCAAGCAGGGAGAAATAACATCGAGGTAATTATTAGGGTTATGTCACTTTATGCGCTCCTAAGAAGCAAATCAATGGCCATTTCAAGAAAGATGACGTTTGGATCACATTTTAAATTTTGCACACTACCCAGAGTCCATGGGAGTTGGGCAGCTGTAATAAATTTGAACGAATGAATGAATGTTCTAGCTAAACCTTCACTACCTTGTTTTCCTCTTTCTCTTTCTCTTTCCCTCTCTATGTCTCATAATTCCACCTAAGTCAAGTCACATTATGTATCTGATGAAGTGAGCATAAGCATATGAAGGCTTATGCCTTAAAAGTAAGTTTTCTTTAGGCCCATTTTAATCAGTGTTGACTTCTGGCAACTACTTGGAGAAGGCCTTGAAGTTTTTGGCAAGATTTTGGAAGTAGTTCGCCCTTGCCTTCTTCTTTCTAGGGCTGAGAGAGAGTGTGTAACTAGCCCAAGGATACTAGCTGGACTGCTACCTTAGTTGAGACTAGAATTCAGGCGGTAGGACTTGTAAGAGAAAATGTAAGAATTTATTAGTCCTAAAAGCTGCTATCAAAATCAGGAACCTAGTAGCAACTTTTTTGATTAACTATTTTTATTAATTTATTTTAATAAATATATATTTAAAAAAAAACAATAATGAAATTTATTAGTTGGAAAAGATGCTACCAGAATCCTGATTTCTTTTTGTCACAGTAGTTCACCAAACAAATACTATATCCCAGACAATACTAAACTTATTTTGATTGCCTCTCGTCTCATCTGAGTAACTCGTTTATTGAAAAACAGCAGTGGTAGGACGTTTAAAAATGTCCACATGATACAGATCATCAACCTTAGAAGATATAATATCATGCTTTGATAAAGACATAGTAGTCAGTCAATAAGTACTAGATTTCTGATTGTTATGAATGATGAATGAATGATGTTCTTAATCAGGATATCAATCTTACCTCCATTCATCTTTTGTTAGATTCACCAGAATATTCATTTCCTCTTCTTGCATAATCTTATAAGCAGCACTAACATGGTGGTTTTCAAGAACAGAGCGATCATTGTACAGAATAGCAACGTCTGACCTAAATGCAGAGAGGGAACTAATAAGCCAGAAGTTCACAACCTGTCTACAGTATTATCCATCTGTTCTCTTAGTTAAGTGGAAATATGGCTGGTGGCAATGAAACCAAATGAAAACTTTGCCCGTTGGATGTGAGACTACAGACTCTGGCTCCTGTAGGGCTTCTATATTATAACGAAGCTATTACAGTAGGTGGCAAAATGGTATTATTTCTTTCTTCCATTTTCATTCAAATACATAGATTGAATAGGACCATCTCCCCTGATAAGAACATTAGATTGAATCTATTTTGCAGAGGTCCATAATATCACAGGCAGTGGAAGTGTTAACAATTAGATGCTTCGTAGACATAGAGGTATGATCCAAACATACAATAAACAGAGATGATATAATGAAAGAGATTTTATTATTATTTCTTCAAAGGAGTAATAGAATTCTTCTGTGTATATTATTTCTTGGCAAATGAATGATTCTGTCATATCTGCTCCTTCTCTCTGTCCCTTTCTGTTTTTCTGATTCTTATTTAGTTTTATATATTTTAGATATAAGGGAGGGAGAGGGAGGGAGGGATGTGGGAGGGAGGGGGAGGGGGAGGGGAAGGGAGGCAGGGAGGGAGGGAAAGAGGGGGGAGGGATGGAAGGGGAAGAGACAGGGGCAGGGGGGAAGGATGGGGGGAAGAGACAGGGAGAAGGGGACGGAGCGAGGGGGGAGAGAGGGAGAGGGAGAGGGGAGAGAAGGAGAGGGAGGGGGAGAGAGAGGGAGAGAGAGCTGCTGGTTCTTGCTGGTTCATTCAGGTATAGTTCTCTTCAGAGTGTCCTGTGCCTGCCCCTTTTTTCCCTGTTTTTTTTTCTTGCAAAAGAAAAAAGTTTCAAAACACTAAGTAGCCAGAAGATATTAAAATATTATCCCTTAATTTTGTCCAGAATGGTGCAGTTTTCAGAGGTGCTGGCTCTTCAGCTGAGGATCAGGATTTAGAAACATGGGAAGCAGGGGTGGGATTCAAATTGTTTAACAACCGGTTCTGTGGGCGTGGCTTAGGTGGTGGGCATGGCTTGGTGGTCATGTGACTGGGTGGGCGTGGCCAACTCAATATCACTTCCCAACCGGGTTACTCCCTTAATGACAGAAATCTGGGGCTCAGTTGTGTTCGTAAGTTGAGGACTACATGTAGTCACATTCTCTTTGCCTTGTTAGCCTATTTCAAGGATTGCTGCATGGGTCCCTGGGAGGAATGGTAGAATGTAACTACGTGGAAAAAAAAATAAGCCACCCATTATGGGAAGCCACTCTTAAGTGAGGCAGACAACTCCATTCAGAAACCCAGAATAATTGTTCTCTTTGTGAACCGTGCAGATCTGAAGTACTTAATAACCAATCCTCTCAATTTATTTTGTCTCAGTAGCTAATTCCCTCCATTTACTTTGTCTCTTTTTGCTTCTTGCTCTTACTCAGTACTCTTTTTGTCTTCTGAAAACTCAGCAACTGTTGTAAGAGAGGCTTGTGCGGTGTGCTGTTGGCATTACTAACGTAAGTATGCTTCACCTGTAAATCTTCTACAAATCCATCCTTTGGCAGACTGCTCCTAGATCAGAGTTTTGCTGCAATTAATAAGCATCGTGCTTACCTGGTCTGAATGTGGAAATTGTTTGTAGTCCCAGTATGTTCATAGTCATGAACTGCAGCTGCAAAAATCATGGCTAATATTTCCAGTTCAGTGAGCCAGTGCTAATCAAGAAAAACAAAACCCATCATCTGTAATACAAATAGTTCACCCTTGCCAATTAAGATTTAAGGTTTTGCACAATCCTAAATTTCTTCAAGGGAGCATTACAGCTTACTCTTGTATAGGTTTTTTTCTTCTTCACATTCTTAGCAATATTCCCAGAAAGGAACCTTAACACTGTAGCTTTTGCCCTTACCATGATCCCAGTCAGAAGCATGATGCAATGTACAGTGTGGGTAACATCAGCAGCATGGATCAAGTTGTGGTATGGATTTTTATACTTGCTGTAGCCAATTTCCAAAGCTTCTCCAAATGAAATAAGACTTGGAACAGGAATCTGAAACAGTCAAAAAACAAAAAGCAAAATAAAGATGGGGGAGAAGGAGGAATATCCAAGATCAACATGTCTGCAAAATATGCAGGTACAAAGGTTTCATCCATAATCGATTTTGCCAGTCCAGCCTCCAAATGTCACCAGAAAAAAAAGAAGAAGTACATGAATAGTCTGAAGACAACTTTGCACTTGCCCCGATGAAACAGGAATGCGAATATTTCCAGTTCCCAATGGCCAAGTTCTATCACTTTCAAGCCATTATGCTAAACTGAAGTGAGTCACCTCACTATCTTTTTCTCACATTATCTCTATCTTTGTCTCCTGACAAAGGAAACAAGAATTAGGGTAACTGGTTGAGTCACCTGGATGCAAAGGCAGTCCCTTTCTTCTTCCTCCAATGGCCAAATTATACTAAAAAAACAATGTTTCCCTTGTATCATAAACAAATAAACACACCAATACCATAGCTTAAACCCAAACCACACCAAACAGGCAGAGAACCATATCTTTGTTCCCAAGCTTTTGGAATGGAACAAGCTAGAAATAAACCAGTCATGATTTTATGCAATCATTATAGAGTGCCAAAGAGTTCCAGCTGGGCTTTCAAAAACTACAAAAATAATCTTCCTGACAAGAACAGGAGGAGACAGTAAGTGTTGTTATCTAAGATAAAGCCTACAGAACTTCACTTGAATTAACTACTGAGGAGAGCCCTCCCCAATCATTTCTACAGTCTAAAGTCCTGGCCTTTGGCCTTTTAAAATGCTGCCTCCCATCCTTTGCTTCCACCATAGCTTCTTATTCAAGGCACTGACCCATCATTGGACCTTAGCACCTGAAAGGGGACTAAGAGATGCTGCTCTTTGTCAGGTTCTGTTTCATGACAATGTTAGAGCTGATTCATTCATAAGCTTTCTCACACATGAAGATGTTGGATGCTGACTTGTGTCTATTCTGCTCCTTCGTTCTCATGACAGCTGAACTTGCATGATACATAGGCAAGGCTACACTCCCCAAGTTCATCTTAGCAAGACAGCCCAGAAGCATAGCATAGATGGAGCAGGTTCACCATTCTTTCTGCGCTATTTGATCATTTTAGAAATTATTCCACCTATTGCAAGCAATCATATGGAATGCATATTAACTAAGAGCCTCAGTGGCGCAGTGGTTAGAGTGTAGTACTGCAGGCTACTTCTGCTGACTGCTGGCTGCCTGCAATTTGGCAGATTGAATCCCACCAGGCTCAAGGTTGACTCAGCCTTCCATCCTTCCGGGGTGAGTTAAATGAGGAGCCAGATTGTTGGGGCAATATGCCGACTCTGTAAACTGCTTAAAGAGGGCTGTAAAGCTCTATAAAGTGGTATATAAGTCTAAGTGCTATTACTAACTTCTTTTCTTATTTGAGAATGTATTGCAAATGCACATCACTACTTATGGACTTCCTTTTCTCTTATTGATTGCTATGTGTCTTCAAATCTGCCAGAGAGGCATATGAGAGGGAAGGGGAAGACAGGTGGGGAATGTCCACTTACCAAGGCTATTGAGGAAGTAAGAAAGACCAGGTACACTTTGTTTTTTAAATATGTATTTGTAGAGAAAGCTTCTCACCTTGAAACGGCTCAATAAATCATATCTAGTAAACAATTCATGCATCATAAATTTCAGACTGTGGCCTCCACTTGCTTCATTTAAGGAAAATACATCAAATGACCATTTGTCAACAGCCTAAAAAATAAGGAAGAGGAAAGATGCTTATGGATTTTTAGATTTTTTTTCCATATAATATTTTTCAGATAGTTTCATAATTTGCTTAAATATTATTAGATTATACAAAGTGCTATTTCAGCAATTTTTTTTTTGTGTGTGTGTGTGTGTGTGTGTATCACCAATCTACTTAATGGTTTGTACACATGCACAAGAGAGAGAGAGAGTTGGTATGATTTTGGTACACCTAAGCCTTTTGCATTCAGTAAGTATTCATTAATTGGCTATTAAAATATCCTCCTTTAAAAATCTAGAAATGCTTAAGCCTGATTATACAGGTAATCCTCATAAGACGCTGTGCCAGCAAAGACTCATTTCTGGTGGAATTTGGGGGAGAGAAAGAAAGACTTCTGCTGCTTTCCTTGCATGAAGCCAAAAGTCTCTCTCTCTCTCTCTCTCCTCCTGAGAATGGAGCTGGAGATGGTGTCCTGCGATCCCAAATAATGATCGATCGGTAGGAAAATGGGGTGGGGAATTTTTCTTCAGACTTTTTTGGGGAGTCCTCAATTTACAAGTTCATTTAGTGACTATTCAAAGTTACAATGGCACTAAAAAAGTGACTTATGACCATTTTTCACCCTTACAACCATTGCAGCATCCTCAACAAGAAAATTCAGACACTTGGCAACTGGTTTATATTTATGACGGTTACAATGTCCTGAGGTCATATGATCACATTTTGAGACTCTTTGGGGAGCAAAGTCAATGGGGAAGCCAGATTCACTTAACAACTGTGGCAAAAAGTCATAAAGTAGGGCAAAAGTAACTTAACAACTATCCTATCTCACTTAGTAACAGAAATTCTGGGCTTGATTATTGTCAAAAGTCAAAGACTACCGATATTCTATTTTATATTATTCACTGAGTTACTTGCTTCACAGAAGAAGATATAATTCTGTCTTGCCTCTACATGGGACCTGCAATAAAAAGCCAATCACCCTTCTGTGACAATATATTCAGCTGCTATTAGGCCATTTCCAAAGGTTTCCTTCCCCACCCAGGTGTTTTTGCTCAGGAGATAGCATTTCCTTCTTATGTACGGCCAATGCTGTTTCAGCCATATAAGCACTGAAAAGAAAGATGATTAGTAGTATATGATGTTGAGACCAATTATATATCTATAGGAGCCTGGCTCCCCTGTTTTCCAGCTTCTTCTCACTGCTGAACACATGTGCAGTCTAACAAGCAGCAGTTCTCACAGGAGACCCCTTCTTCATTGCAAAAATCATCACAACGACGGAATCCTCAATTATAACTTCAAAAAAGGCAACTATGATCTTATAAACAATGATCTCTCATCCCTTGATTGGCAATTTCTATTCTCTGGATGCAATAATGTAGAAGACCATTACAACATATTTTTACTTGAACTCAAAAGAGTCATCAAATTACCCTGTTTCTCCAACAATACGGCCTCCCACAATAGGAAGTCCCAGCATGTTTCATAGGCATGAAATGAAATTAAGCTCCTCCCCCAAATTAAGGCCTATATTAAAACATGCAAAATGGGGGGGAATGGTGGTGGGGGCTTCCGTTAGGAAGTACTTTTGTTGCACATCCGGATATGGTGCTGCTTGCATTGACCCCGATACGAAGTGCCCCACCAACGCCGAGGTCAACATCCAAGCTGTCGCTGCCCACCCATCTGATGGCCTAGCCATTTTTTCGGGGCTCAAAAAAAAAAAAGACCCGGCCTTATTATATGAGAAACACGGTATATGTACCATTAACAACTCCCAAAACCAGAAAAAACAAATTACCCATAACAATAAGGAAGCTTCAATCCAAAAAGAAATCACTTTGGTGGAAAAACAAATCTGGTCACGTTGCCAACTTCAAAAGCTGAAACAAAAATTTATGCCACTAGATAAAAAGTGAATGCACCAATTATCACATTAAACAAAAAAAAACCTTCTACGTACCAATTCCACCCATGCTTTCTACAATTTTGTAAACAACAAACTAAAAGACTCAAGGTCCATCCCACCCCTGAAAGGACCTAATGGTAAGGACTGCAACGATGACACTATTAAAGCCAACCTCTTTAACACATTCTTTGGCTCAGTATTTGTAAAGAGCAATGGATCATGCCCAGTATTTCCTAGTCGAACCACAGACAACTACAATGATCTAATACACACCAATTTTACAGAAGACAATGTTGAAAAAGCACTACGCAAACTAAAACCATCTTTATCTATTGGACCGGATGGAATATGTGCCTACTTCATAAAAAAGCTACCCACTGCCATAGCTGAACCTCTAAGCATAATCTTTGAAAAATCTTTCAGGACCAACTCCTTGCCAAAACTATGGTCACAAGCCACGGTTATCCCCATCTTCAAAAAGGGAGACCCCAGCCTAGTTGAAAATTACAGACCAATCTCTTTATGCTGCATCACCTGTAAAGTCATGGAATCAGTTATTAACCAATCCATCCTCCTCCACTTAGAAACAAACAACCTACTCTCTAATAAACAATTTGGTTTCAGGAAAAAACTATCATGTAATCTGCAACTCTTACACGGCAAAAACATATGGACTACACAACTCGATCAGGGCAAAGCAATAGATGCAATCTACATAGACTTATGTAAAGCCTTTGATTCAGTGGTACACAACAAACTACTCCTAAAATTAAAATCTTACGGTATCTCTGGACACCTGCATAACTGGATAGAAGCATTCTTGTCAAATAGACAACAAATGGTCAAAATTGGGAGCATCCTATCAAATTCTGTACCTGTCAACAGTGGTGTCCCCCAAGGCAGTGTTCTAGGACCAACTCTCTTCATATTCTACATAAATGACCTCTGTGATCAAATCAAGAGCAACTGCGTTCTCTTTGCTGATGATGTAAAGCTATTCAACACCACAGACAATACTGCTACCCTTCAAAAAGACTTTGACTATGTATTAGAATGGTCAAACAAATGTCAACTTCAAATCTCAACTAATAAATGCACTGTCCTATATATTGGCAAAAAAAATCAGAAAATAAAATACAGGCTGAATAGTCAAGACCTTGTTGACGATCCAAACTCTGTCAAGGATCTTGGAGTACTCATCTCTAATGACCTAAGTGCTAGAGTCCACTGTAACTACGTAACCAAAAAGGTGTTAAGAGTTGTTAACCTAATCTTACGTAGCTTTTTCTCTGGTAATATTATACGAATAACTAGAGCATACAAAACATTTGCTAGATCAATACTCGAATACAGCTCATCAGTCTGGAACCCACATTACATATCTGATATTAGTACAGTTGAGAAAGTCCAGAAATATTTCACAAGAAGAGTTCTCCATTCCTCTACTTGTTGCAGAATATCTTATGCCATCAGACTCGAAATTCTAGACCTAGAAAACCTAGAACTACGCCACCTTTGGTCCAATCTAAGTATAGTATATAAAATCATACATTGCAATTTCCTACCTGTCAATGAATACTTCAGCTTCAACCATAACAATACAAGAGCAAACAATAGATACAAACTCAAGGTTAATCCCACCAACTTGATTGCAGGAAATATGACTTCAGCAACAGAGTGGTCAATGTTTGGAATACTCTACCTGACTCTGTGGTTTCTTCCCCAAACCTCAAAAACTTTAACCTTAGACTGTCTACTATTGACCTCACCCCTTTCCTAAGAGGTCTGTAGGGGGCGTGCATAAGCGCACCAATGTGCCTACCATCCCTGTCCTATTGTTTCTTTTTATTTTTTTTATTTTTCTTATATGTATCCATGTATTCACAACTATGTTTTTACTTATACCTATTATCTTGTAAGCAATTGACACAAATAAATAATAAAATAAAATAAATAAATAGATTTGCAGGGCCTGTTGGGCAGTGGTAGGATTCAATTAATTTAACAACCGGTTCGTCCAAGGTCAGGTTGGCTGCCATAGGAGGCATGGCCCATACACTTCCTCCATCTCCACCACATATGTGGGATGAGCCTCCTGCAATGGCCAACATAATCCTGGGCGAACCGGTTGTTAAAGTAAAACTCCCCCCTGCTGTCAAAGTGGATCCTGGGTGCTGGGCTGCAATGGAGAAGCAGGCAATAGAATGGCTGGCATGAGGGAAAGAAGAGGAACAAGAGAAGAAAGAAGGAAAGCGGCCTTCTCTTTCCTCATCCCAGTTGCCCGTTTCTCCATCGCAGCACAGTGCCCAGGATCCACTTTGATAGCGGTGTGTGTGTGTGTGTGTGTGAGTGTGTTAATTAAACAACCAGTTCACCCGAACCAGTGTGAACTGGCTGAATCCCACTACTGCTGGGTTGTTTTTTTTTCTATTTGAGAACCCTTAGCATTTTTGGTGCAGAAGTTATGACTTGGACAAAAGTTTAGTTAATGGAGAAGGAAACAGTAGAAACACAATGAACCTCCATCTCTGCAAATGAATTCTAATCCAGAATGTTAATCATAACAGTAATGAGCACTTAAAGCAATAACTTTCAAATCAGAAAAGCCTTATTGCTGAAATAATGTCTAAATGACCTTGCAATTAAAAAGAAAAAGCATCACAATCACAGTCTTTTGGGAATTGCCATATATGTAGTTAAATGGAAATGTTTTGATTAATCCTGAAAATTAGATGTGTTCCTCGGGGACATTTATCTAAAGCAATCCTAACATGTAGATGTGTAAGATAAAGTTATATATAAGCTTCATTACTTTCAATTTATATCTAAATCCAATAATTAAAATGCTTGTTCTTTCAGCCCATTATCCAATCACTCTGGCTGATTGTGCAATTCCAGGGCTATTGTATGCTGCTGATGTTGTTATTGTGTCTATTTCATAGGAGGAATTGAAGCACATAGGACATTAGCTTTATTTTGCGTAGGACAAATGCTATCAATAAATTATTAGAAAACCAAAATCTTATTTTACCTGGCATTATCATGAAAGTCACTAATGGAAAATAAATGGGACTCCAGATGAAAAAGTGCACACCTATAAATACTTTGGAGTGCAATTTCTTGCTTCCTTATCTAGCAAGTGTTGCACAGCCTACTTGCATGGCTTTTGTAAGATGTTATTATTCAATAGGTAAATTGGATGCAGGAATATCTATCAAAATAATGAATGCTGTTGCAGTCTGCACGGTCTTTCGAGCTAAGATAGCCTCTCAGCTTCTTTACTGCTTCCAAATTGGCTCCTCTGCAAAGCTTAATATTATTGAAACTGTCCAAAATAAGTTTATTAGAGACATACTGATGGTTCCAAAATGCTGTGCAGCAACAGAGGTGGAGAACCAGTAGCGGAAATTTTGAGTAGTTCAGAGAACCGGTAAATGCCATCTCTGACTGGAGATTTTACAGTATCATTTCCCCTGCCATGCCCACCAAGCTAAGCCCTCAGAACTGGTAGTAAAAAAATGTGAATCCCAGCAGTACCATTATTTAGATTTGAAACCAGCTTCTTATAATAGTATTTTATTTGGATTTATTTTACTATCTTTGTTCTTAAATTATTTTAGATTCTATTACACTTTGTTTATCTGCCACACACACACACACACACACATATATGCAATAATTTTATATGATATTCTAGCCTTAGGGCTATAATGAACTTGATTTCATTTGATTATGAATGATGAGGACCCAAATTGTTGGGGGCAATTTGCTGACTCTGTAAACTGCTTAGAGAGAGCTGTAAAGCACTGTGAAGCAGTATATAATTCTAAGTGCTATTGCTATTAATCCAGACAAGAATTACTTTACTTTCTTTTCATGGTCTAAGTAGGTACATGGTCCAAATTTAATGTGAACTAATCATATTGCTGAGATGACTGTTAGCCATGTTTGTTTCTAGCAACAGCTGAAATCAGATAATTCACTATAACCATTATGAAATGGATAAACATGCAGAATAATAGCTGTGTTTGCAGCAAAACTAAAGTAAATATAGAAATGCCAATGTTATAACTATTTCCTTATGAAACCAGATTAAGAACTTGAACATTGTTTTCCATGCAATTTATATAGGAAGGGGAAAAATCTGATTCCTATTTCTCCCAATAAATTTATTGAGATATGGAGTGTATTTTGTACAGAAGCTGAACTGAACTAACCTTAAAAGTTGCTATTACTTCATCTGGATAAGCCAAACCAATCAGGCTAGATGTTCTTCGATACATTCTATAAGAAAGAAATATGAAATAAGGCATTACAGGACTTCACAGTTAAAATGGTCTTTATTCTCTGGGAGCAGTTCCTATTAAGTGTCATGAAAGCAGACATAATATATAGAGAACACTTTAAAAAAAAACTTTATTAAATATACAACTAAAATAACGAACAAACACATACACAACATAGAAAAAAAGTGGGAAACAAAACCACAAAAAATAAACAAATAAAAGCAAGCAATTCCTCTATCAACAGTTTGTGGTTCCTTATTTGTTATCATTATTGGTGTCATATTTACAAGTAAGTCTTAATGCGAATATGTAATTACTACCTCCTTTACAGTTTAACAATATTTATTAATATATTTTCTATCTTTGTTCTATCCAGTCATACCAACATTCCCAGCTTTTGTAATATTCTGATGATTCTTTATCCTTAAGTGCTAGGGTCAATTTATCCATCTCTGCACAGTTGCTATTTTCTGAATAATTTCCTCTGTTGGAATGTCAGCTTGTTTCCAACACTGTGCAAATGCTAATCTGGCTGCAGTATGTGCAATATTATATATTTGGCTTTTTAAGGGAATTGTCTATTAAATATCCCTAATAGGAAGAATTCTGGTTTTAATTCAATTTGCTCCACCATTATTTCCTCCAACCATTTTTTGATTCTGTGACAATATTGTTGGACTTCAGTGCAGGACCATCACATCTGAAAGAATATTCCGTGTTTCTTTTTACAGTTCCAGCAATTTGGATTCATGTTAGGAGACATCTTCGCTATTCTCGAAGGAGAGACATGCCATCTATAAAACATTTTAGAGGCATTTTCTTTATATGTTGCTGATTTTGTGATTTTATTATTCCTGATCCAGACCTTTTCCCATTCTAATAATGTAATGCTACATCCAATATTCCTACTCCAAACTATCATATTGCCTTTGAGTACTTCCTCCTCTAATTCTATCTCTAATAAATGGTTATAAAATTTGGTTATATTTTTTTTATCTGGACCTAGTAAGATTTTATCTAATTGTTGTAGCTTACTGTAAATTCCGAAACTATTCTTATCCTTATTATTTTGAATTTGCAGGTAAACCCACCGGTCTACTCGTAGCCCTTGTTCTTGGAGATCTTGCCAGGGTTTTAAAGTTCCTCGTGCATCCAGAAGGTCTTTGTATTTTATCATCTTGTTAAGATCCAAATTATTTGGATGTATCATTGCCTCCATCATCGAGATCCAAATTGGGATTTTTAGATAATGTTTTTTCTTTATTTTATTCCAATTAGCCAGTAAAGAGTCTCTAATTATATGTCTGTGGAAGTAATTCTGTTTGGTTTTTCCTGTGTCCCATAAAAATGCATGCCACTCCCTCTGTAAGTCATGGCCTTCTAGGAATAGTATTCTTTTATTTGACAAGTTTACCCACTCTTTCAGCCATAGTAAAGAGGTTGCACTATGGTATAATTCCCAATTTGGGAGTGCCATGCCACTCCTGCTCTTCATATCTTGCATTGCTTTTAAATTTATCCTCATTTTTTTTCCCTTGCCAAATAAATTTTGCGATTATCCTTTTAAGTTCCACAAAGTAGTTTTTTATGTATTTTTATTGGTATTGTTTGGAACAAATAAATAAATTTAGGGAGAATGGTCATTTTAATTGTAGCAATCCTCCCTAATAGGGAGATTTGCAATTTAACCCATAACTCTAAGTCTTTTTAAACCATTTGTAGTAATTTGCTATAATTATTTTCTATTAGAGTTTTACAATGAGCCGTCTGCCAGATTCCTAGGTATTTAATTTTTTTACCACTTTTAGTCCCATTGCCTTTTCCAGTTCTAATTTCTGTTTTTCTGCTAGGTTTTTAGTTATTAATTTCATTTTTCCCTGTTAATTTTAAGTCCTCCAACTTTCCCAAATTGATCTAGCTCTTTCAACATTTCTTGACCTGTTTCAGTTGGATCCTCTAGGAAAAAGACCATACCATCCGCAAATGACTGCAGTTTATATTCTTCTTTCTTAATTCTTAATCCCTTTATTCCTGGGTTCTGTCTAATTCATGTGAGCAGTGTTTCCTAAGATAATATGAAGAGCAGGGAAGATAATGGAAATTCCTGCCTAACTCCTTTCTCTATTTTTATTGAGTGCGTATATTCTCCGTTAATTATAATATTCGCCTTTTGTGAGGCGTAAATTGAAGTCACAATGTTTTCAAATTTAGTGCCTAAATTCATATTGTAGATTTGTTGAATTAGGAATTGCCAATTTAAGTTGTCAAAGGCCTTCTGTGCATCCAAGAATACAAGGACTATTTATTTTTCCGGATGGGCTTCGTAGTATTCCAAAACATTTAACACTATTCTTAAATTGTTCCTAATTTGTCTATTGGGAAGAAATCTGTTTTGATCTTTATGTATATATTCATTCAGGATTTTTTTTAGTCTATTCGTTATAATTGTAGTAAATATTTTATAATCAGTATTTAACAAAGAAATTGGTCTATAGTTTTGTATGAGTCATGGATCTTCTTTCGGAATCAATGAAATCAGTGTCTCTTTCCATTAATCCGGCATTTTAGCTGCAAGTAAAACCTCATTATATACTTCCACCATGAGGGGTCCTATTTGTTCTCCTATTACCTTGTAGAGTTCCCCTGGAATCCCATCAGGTTCTGGAGTTTTATTGTTCTTCTGATTTTCTATTGCTGTTTTCAGTTCAGACCACGTAATATCTCTAATTAGCATTTCTTTCATCTCATCTCCAATTACTTTGTCTTTTGTTTCACCCAAATAGTTTCTTATCATATCCTCATTTTCCTTTTCCTTTTTATAAAGGTCTTCAAAATATTTATGTGCAATTTCTTTTTTCTGTTCTATTCCCTGTTGGGCATCCCCATTTTCATCTATTAATTGGTAAATTAATCTTTTCTGTTTTTTTTTTTTGAGTTTATAGGACAACCATCTTCCCGGTTTATTAGCCTGTTCAAAGAATATCTGTCTAGCTATATTCAACTTTGTAACCATTCCTTCCTGTTCAATCAGGTTTAATTTGTGTTTAGTTAATATCATCTGGTTTTGCAATCTACAATCCTTTGGAGTATTTTGTAACTGCGTTTCTAATTCTTTAATTCTTTGATTTAGATTATTTTGTTGGGCACATTTTTCTTTATTTCTCCTGGCAGTATATGATATCATTGTGCCCTTTATTACTGCCTTCATTGTGTCCCAAATATTCTGCTTCATAGTTGCCTCATTATTATTTTCTTTTAGAAAGTTGTCCAATTCCTCCTTAAGTCTATTCATTAAATCTTTCTCTTTAATTAGCTGTGTATTTAGCGTCCACCCTTTCCTTGGCTTTTTCCTACCTTTCCACACAATCTGAATCAGATTATGATTTGCCCATTCGTTAGGTAAAATTTCAATCTCTTTTAACTCATTGCTAGCTCACCATTTATCCACACCATATCAATTTGTGTACATGATTGGTGTGGGTTGGAATAAAATGTAAATTGCTTTTTCTCTGGGTTTAATTTTCTCCACATATCTATCAAATTTAGTTCAATCATCATTTCCTCACATGTTTTCGGTAATTCTCTCTTTTTCCTCCCCTCCCCCCACTTTGATCTTTCTGATGGTCTACAATGGCATTGAAGTCCCCAAGATACGAATATTCCTTCTTTCTAATCCCACTATTTTTTCATGTAATTGTTTAAAAAAATCTTTTTGATTATCGTTAGGGGCATAAATTACTAATAATAGAATTGGGGTTGACTTAATCCAAATTTGTAAAACCAGAATTTTTCCGTTGGAATCTGTCCAAATTAGCTTTGTTTTCATTTCCTCTTTCTCATATATTTCTTTTTTCCTGAAGTCTGCTGCTGACGTATACATATATAGAGAACTCTTAAGACCGCATGAAATACTGTTTTCTCCAAAGCAAGATAGATAGATTTTCAACCTGCCGTCAATCAGTCAGATCTATTCTGTATCTGTATCAATGGATGAATGCTAATCCCCTTTCAATCAAACCTTATTGCTAGAGGAGCCTAGCAAAGAATAACTTAAGCAGAATATTATATTTTGTTTTCATATACACAAGCATTACAGACCTTTCAAATATTAATTATAATGAGGATTAAACAAATGACTGAGCAAATCCATAAATAACAGAATCAGGATATGCTTGCTTAGCAGTTAACTTTTTTTCTTTTACTATTTTTCTCTTCTCTTAGTCGCTAAAAACGCAAACCACTAATCTCTTACTGAGTTTTAAACTCATACTATTGTTTTCAGTGTGAACATGGCATATGAGAATTACTCTATATATTTATGCAATCAGTGGCACATATTCCTAAGTAAGTCTGATGGCAATTTATAGTCACAGAGTGCACTTTTATAAGCATTATCTTAAATATTCCTCACTGAGTTCAACAAGACTTCTTTTGCCTTTTGAGGGTTAACAAGTCTTTCAAATGCCTTGTAAAGTTTCCAAAGTGGTTTCCCATTGACTCTTTCCTAGGGCTGGGAAAGAGTAACTGGTCCAAGATCACTTGACTGACTTTGTGCTTCAGGCAAAGGTAGAACTCACATTCTATTGGTTTCTAGTATGACGCCTTAACCACTATACTGAATTGGCTCTCCTAAACAACACTTACAGAAAGATATTTGTATAGTTACATATTTTATATGCTTAATCTTAATTTTGATGTAAAAAAACACCCTGGGCATGATATTTGAGTCCAGATTTTTTCATACTCAGTTGCTAGCATCCAAGCTGTGACTTTAGCTGTTTAATACCAGTTTTGAAAAAGAAGACCAAGTTTCAAATACTGTAAAGTAAAATAATTATTTATTGCTTCTTGTGGCTCTTTATCAGGATGATGAAGTTGGTAACACATTCACCTGTTGTCATATAATCAATAAAGAAATAAAACACACCTTTCCACAAAGATCCCAGCTTGTACAGCATGCACGATGCTTCGAAATTTTGGTTTTTCCTCTGGTCTCCTTTTCGTCATTCCCATTTTCCTTGTAAAGGTAGATGCTAACCAATCTCGCACTTCCAGTGGAACGGAATCTGATTGGATATCTGATAGTTCATCCTCTGTATCCAACAACCTCCTGTAAATGCATATGTAGAAGACAGCACGCAATAAGTACCAAACATTCAAAACTCTTAATTAACTGGAATTATGTCTCAGCATCTGTACAGTAACATTCTTTCCCCATGAATGTACAATAGTGCAGGTCACCACTGCACTATTTCATTGGTGTCAAACTCTTGACATCACAATGCCATCACGTGACATATTGCAACATTTTTCCCCTTCGCGGAGCTAGGACGGATGTGGGCTGCACGTGACACATCCAGCCCATGGGCCGCCAGTTTGACACCCCTGCACAGAATGCTACTTTATATCAATTCACATCAAGGATTCATCTACCTTTATAGTATTTGTTTCAAGAACGAGCACTTCCAACTTGTGGAACTACATACTTTGGTACTTTGTTTTTTTACTAGAACCTCAAGGGCCATAAATAGACTGCAAATAAGTGCAAAATAGAAGCTGAAATTTGGAACAGAGCCAAAAGCAAAATGGTGACAGAGCCAACATCTACTGTACTCCTTATAAAATGTGCCAACATGTATGAATAGAACTCTACATCTGAAGTTTGGCATATTTTAATCTTTTAAGGATGAGAAAACAGACCCCACCAAAGATTATAGGAATCATGAGATCCGGTTTGAGCTTCTTCGGTGACAGACCAAAATCTGTGATTGTGCACAGTTTCAATCTGTGCTCACTACTGAAGTGCCCTGAGCTGGCTGGTTTTGGGGCTAAGCCAACCCACAGAGGTGGTGAAGAGTGGGGAGACTGCCAGCAGAGTCAAGGAGAGCCGCATCTCTCCTCCCCAGCTGGCCATTATTCCCTTTTCCGAACGTGGTTGCAGCAGTGGTCAGAAATGGCCACCTCAAAGAAGAACTCGACTGGAAAAGAATGTGCAGGAGAAAGATAAGAAGAGAAAGTTTTTGGCTGACCAGGTTGAACTGGAAAAACAAGAATATAAGGTACCCTGGAATTTGAATTATAAAGGACAACATTGTTCCCAAAGAAGACTTTGAAGCTGCAAATGAGAGAGGGAAGGGAAAGGATTTGGTTTTTTTCTTTCTTTTCTTCCCTTTATTGACAACTAAGAGATTTAAGCAAGAAATCGGCAAAAATCCACTTTGACAGTAACGGGTATTTAAGCTGAAAATAAAATGTCAAAGGGATAATAAAGATTTCTGGATTCTCAAAAACTTTTAAAAGAAGGAAAAAAACAAAAGGGTGGGATCTGGAAAAAGGGAGGAGACCACCTGGAAGTGAAAGGAATTAACAGTGAAACTTTAACAAGATTCCTAACAGATACATTTTATCTGAAACTTTGTAACAAGATAAGAGAATCCCAGGAAGAGAAAGTGGAAAAAAGAAGCAAGAAGAAACAGCTTTGGATTATTTGGATTACTTGGTGATTTATGGATTCTTGGCTATTGGATCTAAAGGACTAAAATTAATCGGGTGCTTATTTAAAAGTTTTTAAAATGGTAACACTCTTGGAAGAATTGAGAATGGAACTTAAAAAACAGAAAGAAGATGCACAAGAAGGAAGAAGTTCTTTTGGCTTCATATTTCAATTTTTAGAAATGGAGATGCTGAACTATGAGAAACAACAAGAAATGCCTGTAGAACATGAAGGGCGGGACAAAAAAGAAGCCATCTTCAATGACCAAGTATTTCTATGTGGGGAAAAGAAAGGAAAGGGGGGAAAGAGAGTGAAAAAATTAAGATCTGAAAAAACAATCCAAAAAAAGAATAGTTTGAAAAGTAATTATAACATTAGGAAGAAACAGAAGAGTGGATTACAGAAGAGAGAATCAGAATTAGAGAGAGAAGGGGTCAAAAAGGGAAGGGAGAAGAAGAGGGAGAAGAGGGAAAGGAAAAGAAATAATAAAGGACAGAACCAGGACATAGAGAGACAGGGAAAACGTACAAGACACAGAGATAATGGGTGAAAACTTAATTGAAAGGGAGATTCTGCAAGGGTACATAAGATAGTTTTGTTATTTTAGAAATAGAAATGAACTTTGAAAATATGAAATAAGTGTGATTAAAATGATAGATAAAATACTCATTGTAATGGAATGGAATGTTTAATAAATAAATGAAATAAAGAGAATGAGAGAATGAAATTAGAAAAGGAGGGGAACATTTTAATTATTATGTGTTATAAAAATTGAAGAGGAATATGAAAGAAACATGAAAAAATTATGGAAATATTATAAGTGTTCCTAGAAGTATGATATCATATTGAAAAGGAATGTTAAAGATGTCACTAATATAACTAATATTAATGATAGAGCTGAACTGGAATAGAATAAGTATTTTATTTATTATTGTTATATATATATATATGTATATGTATATATATAGTATTCAGCTTTGCTTGGGTATTTTCCCATGTCATTGTAGTTGTGCTTTTAAAGTTGTAG